AGGAGGGATCTCGTCGGGTTATTCGAGTCTACTCCCGAGAAGGCGAACTTGACAGCGCAAGTGAGCCTGTCGATGGTTTCGAGAGTACTCTGAGTTGGCGACCAGCTGGAAACCTAATGGCTGGTATTCAGCGATTCTCAAACCGTATAGATGTGGTTTTTTTCGAGAGGAACGGCCTGCGACACGGAGAATTCACTCTCCGTTCTCCCTCTGGACCAGTGGAAGCTCATGAGAAGATTCATCTTGAGTGGAACTCGGATTCTACTGTCCTGGCAGTCATCTACAGGGATATGGTTCAGCTATGGACAATGGGCAACTACCACTGGTATCTCAAGCAAGAGATGCCCATAGAAGCGAACTCTTCATGTCTTTCTTGGCATCCTGAGAAGGCTCTGCGCTTCGCTGCTACATCCACAAGTAACATCGTTGTGGCCGAGCATATCTTTTACACAGCAAGAGGATCTTGTCTGCTACCACACGACAACGGCGCTGTTGCGGTTATCGATGGCGAGACGGTCAAGTTGACTCCATTCAGGACAGTCAACGTGCCACCTCCTATGTCAATGTTTGACATCACAGCTTCTGCTGCTATTGCCGACGTTGCCTTTGGTCGCGACAATACCTCTTTTGCTATCCTCCACCGAAAGGGTATCGAAATCTATACCTGGCCTGTCAAGAATGGCAGGTCTATCAAGCCACAAGTGTCAAAGAAAATCACCTTTGACGAGATGGCCAGCCCAGGTTACAACGTTCTTTTGAGGATCGCCGCTGTTGCTGACGCTTTCCACTACTTCGGTTTTGAGGAAGAAAATGGGTTCGTCCAACGATCTGTACAGGCTACCGGCGAGGGCGATACGTCTGTTGCTGATGTCAACTCTCGAGAGATCTTGGTTGCTACAGCCAGTTACCAAGACGATAGCTCCTTCACGGGCTATGGCCAGGACAACTCAGGAAAGCTGTTCTATGTTGGCGACTCGGGTAACGGGATTCTTCCCGTTAAATTCCAGACACAACTTCCTTGGTTCGAGATTAGCAAAGTCGATGATGAGATTGTCGCCTTTGGTCTTTCCAGGAATGGTCACATCTACGCCAACTCTCGCCTCCTGGCAAAGAACTGTACATCCTTTGTCGTCACCCCCAGCCATCTCATCTTTACCACCAACAACCACTTTGTCAAGTTCGTTCACTTGTCCTCCAATGTTGACGGTAAGTCACTTTTTATCTCTTCTGTGATCAGTTACTAATATCAACCAGAACTTGAAGTTCCTGAAGATGACCCCGAGATCGACGAACGATGCCGTAGCGTAGAGCGAGGATCAAGACTTGTCACTGCCATCCCCTCCAACATGAGCATCGTTCTTCAGATGCCCCGTGGAAACCTCGAGACTGTCTTCCCTAGAGCCATGGTTGTCGCGGGTATCCGTAACCTGATTGATGAGAAGAACTATGCCCGTGCTTTCTCGTACTGTCGAACACAGCGTGTGGATATGAACATTCTTTACGATCATCAACCTGAGCAGTTTTTGGCCAACGTGGGGCTTTTCCTCGACCAAATCCCAGATGTTGCCCACATCGATCTCTTCCTCTCTTCCCTTCGGTAAGATATTCTGCATTCACGCCTTCAAGTTCAAAACTAATGAAACACAGTGCCGAGGACGTTACTCAGACCATGTACCAAGATACAAAACGACCAAAGGCTTTCGGCATCGATGGTATTCCCTCAGATTTGTCTCCTGCTCCACGAGGCTCTGCAGCAAAGGTCAACACCGTCTGCGATGCTCTGCTCGGCGCCCTACAGAGCCGCAAGGCCACCAACCTCCAGAACACCATCACTGCGCACGTGTGCAAATCGCCTCCTGCTCTCGATGATGGTCTTCTCCTTGTTTCTGAGTTGATGCGCGAGGATGAGAAGATTGCCGAGAAGGCTGTCGAACACATCTGCTTCTTGGTCGACGTCAACCGTCTGTATGAGAATGCCCTTGGTCTTTACAATCTTGAACTGGCTCTCCTCGTTGCTCAGCAATCTCAGCGCGATCCCCGTGAATACTTGCCCTTTATTCAAAACCTGCACTCTCTGACAGAGCTCCGCCGAAAGTTCGAAATTGATGATCACCTTGAGCGCCGTGTCAAGGCTCTTGGCCATCTCCAGACCATGGACGTTTTTGATGAACTTCTTGCATACACTACTAAACACTCTCTCTATCATGATTCTCTACGCCTATACCGTTACGATCCTCCTCGTCTTCGGGAACTCACGGCTGCATATGCCGCCTACTTGGAGTCAACCTCGGCCTACCGCGAGGCAGGTCTTGCCTACGAGTCTCTTGAAAACTACGCCAAGGCAACTAGCTGCTACCGAACCGCCGGCGCTACATGTTGGCAGGAGTGTCTCTACACTGCGGCCCAGCAGCAACCTCCCATGTCTTCTGAGTCTATGGCTGATCTCGCCAGCAACCTTGCGGATGCCCTCTGGGAAGCCAAGGATTACTCGTCTGCGGCTACCATCCACCTCGAGTACCTTGACTCAATCGACATGGCTGTCAGTTGCCTCTGCAAGGGCTATCACTTCGCTGATGCCATCCGTCTTGTCGTCCAACGCAAACGTCCCGATCTCCTCACCACCAGCGTTGACACCGGTCTTGCTGACGCACTGGGCACTACAACTGAGTTCCTCGCAGACTGCAAGGCTCAGCTCAAGGCCCAAATCCCTCGCGTCGCTGAGCTTCGGCGCAAGGCTATCGAGGACCCTCTTGCATTCTACGAAGGAGACCGCGCTGGTGGTATGGACATCCCCGACGATGTCTCGGTTGCTGCATCTTCGCGTGTCAGCACCAGTGCATCACTCTTCACACGATACACAGGAAAGGCCGGCAGTGTGGGCACAGCTGGAACAGGCGTCAGTCGAGCAACAAGCAAGAACCGTAAGCGAGAAGAAAAGAAGCGTGCACGTGGACGCAAGGGAACCGTTTATGAGGAGGAGTATCTCGTCAACAGTATCCGCCGTCTGATCGACCGTGTAAGCGCTGCCGCGCCAGATACCGAGCGTCTCATCTTTGCGCTTGTCCGAAGAAACATGCCCGAGCGAGCACGCGCTGCTGAAGCCCTCATGGCTGAAGTGTCTGAGGCTTGTACTTCTGCTGTGTCCGAGGTGTTCAAGTCGTCTGAGCCAGAGGGCGAGAAGAAGAATGAGGGAGAGCCGGCATGGCACGCTACCGGGGGTGAGGCGGTGTTACAGGATTTCGTGATGGGACAGGGAAAGAAGTTGGAGCCTCCTGTTGTGACGGGGGTTAAGAAGCTTACGCTATTGGGATCATGATTAAAATGTTATATAAAAGTTATGTTAAAATGATATAAGAATACAAGTAAAAGTCCCAAGGTTTTATTTTTACCACCACGTTTAGTAGTAGTTGTTTTGTATCAATCTGAGTCACCTTGGAGCTTACCTCCTGCATAGCAGTTCTTGTTTGCAGCCCAATTGTAAAGAATAAAGATAGACAGGATAAACTGAATAGAAAATGATCCATTCTTTTCACCACGATAGTATCAGCCCATTTCAGTCATGTCCTTGTGGGGAAATAGTAGAGACAGTCCGAATAGGCTACCATCGCAAAGCATTCCTTGTCTGGCTGATTACCGAACACCCACTTGTTCCTATATTGTCCACATAGGGCTGATACTGGCTTCGGCAATGCATGACAACTCACGATTCCTGACTGCGTGCATTTATGGTTAATCGGGAAATATTCAAGAATGCAAGCCGAGCATAAAAGGTTACGACAGCAGCCTGCTTGGCGTCAAAATGTCTCGGCCTCTTGCAGGTGATGATGCATGTCGTAGATTGACTCATATTTATCCATGTTTGTCGATCAGACAATAAGTGAATAGTCGACCTTAAACTTGAAGATGGATTGAATGCCCTTTGACATATCATGGCAAAGAAGTAAGCGACACAGATGCTTCGAAATAGTATGAGATATTTCGTTTTGAGCAAGCATTGTATAACTCTGTATCTGAAGTAGTAGTCAATCAGTTCGGTAACAAATGCAGAGTATGCTGAACCCCAATTAGGCTGTGCATACGATTCGGACTGAAACCCTACCATGTCCAAGGGTCAGACGAGTATTTTGACGGCCAGGGTTCGAGGAGAGTTAGTCAACACCCATTTCTGGATTCCTATTACATACTTACCCATGCCTTAGGGCCCGTTGAGCCTCAATTTTGGGGGTTTCCTGAGTCCCCCCGCGCTTTGACTCTCTGAACGCAACCTCCAACACCAGGATATCGATTGTCTCGAGGCAGCACTGTGGGTTAAACTCTCAATCTCCCACACTCTTTATGCCACACATATTCTCATAGTACACCATCGATGGTGCACTACATACGTCGTAGCATCTCCCAATTGGTCATATGTTGCCGCGTATCTTCGGCTTCGTCCGAGCCAAGCACGACTGACTGCATAGGAACTCCATAAACATTGTCGATGATGGGCGTAGTTTCCGTGTCCATGCATGCATGCACTGAAGGGCTGCAGGTTTGCACTGCATTCCCCATCATTTCGGTGCGCCATCGTTCATGGCGCTCTTAGTAGTGGTTTGTGAGATGGGTGACGAATGAGATGCTTGGTGGTTTAGACGAAGCTACCGATGTAGAAGGGTCGTCATTGGGGAGGGTGCTGGTGCTGACGCTTGATGTTGACATGGCTGGTATGAGGATAAGAAGTGTCGGTTTCCCTTTCTTTGATCGATATCCTTCGGCTCTTCTTCAATTTGTCTTGTATCTTGAGACCTCGAATTCTTCTTCATCGTATGCGCTCTTTAGTGTTTAGTTTGCACCAAGTTTCCCCAAAGTCTTGACCATTGAAGGTTGATACAAGTCACTGCCTTTGTTAGCACCCTCCATCTATTGACTCAACTCACTGTTGACTCGACATACTCACCACCTTTCTTCAAACTTGTTGACACATATCCCCTCCTCGTTGCTTCTTGTCTACATCCGTCAAGATGGGAGACCTTGTCAACGACATAAACGGCTTCATAAGTCAGCACAATGCCAGAAAAGGACCACAACCTTCACAACACCGCTTCACTCCCACACCAGACTACTATGCTTCAACCTTGATATTCTCAGAAGACGGTGCAAATAGACCTCCTACTCAAAGTGTCAGCATGTCGAACGCCAGTAGCTCGACGTACATGTCATCTTGCTTTGACATGCCAACTCCTCAAAGCTCATCTACTCACACTGAACCCCCTCCTGTTTCCATCCCATATCAGCAGATATCGGTGCCTTCTTCACCCCTTGTGTGCGAATTCGTACGCTACACAGGATGTAATGCAACTTTCGACCCCAACGATGAGGCTGGATGGATCGAGCATATCGTGGCCTTCCATCTTGGTAATGCATTTCCTGCAGTGTGTGTATGTTGGTTTTGCGATAAAGGATTCAGAGCATCTTCATGTAGTCAACCTGACACTGAAGCATGCTACCAAAAACGAATGCGTCATATCGCTAAGCACTTCCGGAGAGGCGTGACAGAGAGACAAATCCGTCCAGACTTCTTCTTCCTCGATCATGCTTATAGCTGTGGTCTGATCGATGAGGAGACGTTCCAAAGAGAAAAGATGTCCCATGAGGCTCCTCAACTATCGGGTCTGCATGCTGCTGGTTGGAGGCCTGAGCAAAGGCTGTCGCAAGGCCAAGTTGAGATACATCGTTCACGCCACCGGGGTTCGTCAGCTCGGAATCGTGCGTCGCAAAGATACTACAGTTGAGAGTTGGCTGCTTCTGGTATATCGTGGAGATAGTCGTGCTGGTTCAAATATCGAGGCACTTGGACAGAACTGGTATATCCATTGTTGAGTATTGATTCGTTGGTCGGTTCGTCTCGTCTTATAGGAAGAAACTTGACAGAGTTGTCAGCATCATGGAATGAGATTTTGAGGGAAACCAGGAGCAGATGATGAGTGCTTGTATGTATCAGAATGTATTCATGACAGGTCGTGAAGGAAGATGGAGATCAAGTTGACGAGCAGTTTGTTCTCGGGTAGAGAAAGAACAGAAATATAAAGCTCTACTCAGAAAATGTATCAAGTACTATATGAATCATCTTATGACCGTGAACCCCTGAGTAACTAGGCAGTGACCTTGCGTGAACTGTTGTGGCAATGGCTCTCGACATCGTGATTGGATTGTGGATACGAGAACGATCGGTGACTTATAAACGTTGTCAGAAAACAGATTCATGGCATTTTAGGCATTCAATCTTTTTAGAACTAGATTTCTTTTGTTATAAATAAAAGCAAAAAAATCTCCAATTCTATTTACAATGCTCTAATAGCAATCGCCGTTGAGTTCATCCGTTTGATCCTGACAAGAGTTGTTTCCACAGGGTAGGTGTAAGTGAGTCAGGCCTCATTCACGGCTCACTGCTGCAAGAACATGGCTGCACAACCCAACAACTAGCTAAATGCAGGCTTGGCACAAGTGCAGCTATGAAGTATGTAGATACACGGTAGGAAATATTTACACATTATCACCATATGAACTGGTGCCTGCTCAAGGCAACAATCAGGAACAATCACGATGTGTGTCGGAATGTATTGTTTGTGTATATATACACAAATCATTCCTTGTCTTTCATCAAAAACATTAGACAACGTGTCCGAGTGGTTAAGGAGATAGACTTGAATCATCACGATTGGATATCTATTGGCTTCGGCCTCGCAGGTTCGAATCCTGTCGTTGTCGAACAATTTCTTTTTTGTTCTTTAAACAGTTTGGATTGACCGCTTTGACCTTTATTCTTTGGCACGGAGTGCAATTATGAAAAACACGCCTCTATAATGACGGCGAGAATGCTCATGATGTTATGCAAAGTTTACTTTAGCTCTAAACCCCCACGCGGAGACCGTTGTAACCGCATGGCCCGAATCGTAAAGTTAGGCTTATCCGTTTGTGCCTGAGCGATGCCCAGATTGTTTGGCGGCATATTGCAACCTGTAAGCGACCTAGCATCTATCCTTGAGAGCTAAACGAGACTTTGATGTCAAGGTACTGGAAGTACTGTTGGGTAGAATTGTCATAAGCATGTGATGAGAGAACTATTGCAAGCGAGAAGTAGAGAAATCATGGTCATAAATTAGTTCCAATTTCTATATATCTCATCATAAACAACAAGATCCATTCGATCACAGAGCTCAGCTCCATCCGAGTCGTATCGACTGTCCATAGTCCAACCAGCATCTGCTTTGGCTGTCCTGTATCTATATAAAGTATATAATCTCGTCGAGTAACAGCGTTCCAGGCCGCAGGGATTATACAAGACAAACACAAAGGGATTTCAACAGTATGTCCAAGCATGGGGTATCCGCAAAAAGAATCCAAAAAGAAGAAGGGTAATAAAAAAAGGACATCAGGTCATAAGAATCGTTGCATTGCATCAACGTTGCAACCAACAGCTCCTGTGCTGTACCGCAACGCACATGTCATTTCTCATCAGTTGGCAATGAGTCCAACCGTATTCTGGTCATCCATTACCCAGGGCAAGTCTCGGTTCCCAACAGTGGTGCAGGTGAGGTAGGTGATGCTGTCTGGTGTGCGTGAAGTGTCGCCCATGTCGAGCTCAAGGTTGCTACCCATGAGGGGTCGTACAATTTCTCGGGCCATTGCCTTTAGCTCGTCGAGACGCTTCTCGAACCTCCGAAGGTTCTCCCGGCTGTAGAGCTCCGGGGTAAGCTTGAGGAAGCGCTTGCAGTCGTCGTGGCCGAGGAATGAGGCGGGATTGTTGGAGCCGATTTGACGATATGCACGTCCGACAGAATTCAACGGCGGGGAGGCGGGGGGTAAGGCGGCGACGCTGCGGCCCCCATCACGGGAGGTTATCCTGCGTCGCTGATCTGGAGGCGGCTGCGGAGAGGTGTTGTCGGCCAGCCATTGGCGGAACAAGCTTATGGATAGCCAGTCGAGGTAATTGTCGCTTGGGCCGACACGTTCACCACGGCTGTTGGTGAGCCCAAGGCGGAAGAGGCGTCCTTCGATGCGACCGACGGTTTCTTCCAGCTCCTCCACCTTGTCCTCAATGATATCCAAGACAATGTCGGGCAGGGCTGCACGCAGACTGCGCTCACCGGCCGGCCATTGCCCAACGACATGAATCAAGGCTTCCTGGAAGATTACCCGGCTGCGAGCTAGATACCCGAGGCGCAGATACGAAATTGGGTATTTGGCGATTTGCTTCCACAGCCGTGACTGGAACTGCAGCATGTGGTGATCAACTCGAGGTCCCACCACTGCAAGGGCGTCGTATTGGTCGGCGAGGTTGAGCAAGCTCTTGCATTGGACATAGGCATCTGCGACATTGACACCATCGAGAGCGGGTGGGTAGTTGTAAAAGATGCGAAAGAGGTTGTCGTAGTCGCGCAAAAGGTCCTCGTCGGCCTGCGACAGCTCCGCTGCAGGTGGTGGGTGGTTGGAGGAGAGACTGAGATTGGCAACAGAGCGGAAGAAACCGCTAGAGGTGGATGAATTGGACACTGATCGCGAGTGCGAGCGGCCGGAGCGGCTTGAAGATCGCGAGTCTCTGGAGCTGACGGTAGGTGGAGCTGAAGAGGGACCGAACAAAGACTGTGTATTATCTCGCAACGATTCGTCTCGCTGGACCAGCATTGGGATATCATTCGGTCCAGATCGTGGATCTAATTCGTATCGCCATCTCTTCCTCGGAGGGTGCACACTTCCTCGTTGCGACCTGGAACTGACGTCGCTTCCGGTAACGGGATCGATTTCGCCATCCTCACCGATGCGGGAGAGCTCATTACCGGCTGGTAGTGCACGATTGCGGGACCACTGGTTCGATGTGCTGGTTTCAAAGAAGCCGCTGGAGCGCGTAAGAGTGTGGCGATGAAGCAGGTAACGGTTCTGGACAGGAGCGGCATCGGAGGGTGAGTCGCGCGCGCGGATTATGATCTCGACATCGCCGGTGCCAAAGACAGGAAAGTCATTTTGAAGAGCATGAGTGGTGTTGGTGCTACCACCGGTATGAGAGCGATTATAGCGCTTCGATCGCGAGTGTGATTGAGATTGGCGAGAGACAATCGACGAGGGGTCGCGACGGGAGACGGAGGAGGTCGTTGGAGGCTCCAGCGTGGAAACCATGAGGGCTTTTGTGATATTAATACTTTAAGTGATATTGTGATAATTGAACTGCCGCGCGCAGTCAGTCGCAGGGGTTGTTTAGAATGCGGCTCAGACAGTTGGAGGCGGTTGTGGCGGAGTGAAGTAGATTGAAGGAGCTAAACGAGATAGGAAGAGGCTGGGGATGATGAAGATTTGATATGGATGATCTGAATCACATGAGGTGGGATGTTTTGGTTTGTTGCGGAGCGACAAGACAGCTTAGCTTTAAACTAAGAACTCGGTTCAACTTGACGCGAAAAGAGTTGAAGAATTGAGAGATGATGGAAGAGAATAAAGAATATAAACATAAACAAAGACGACGGGACCACACTAACACTAACGTAGTAGGTAAAGTATGTAGTAGTACCTTAGCGAGTGCTGTACTGTAACTTGACTTGTGATGGTGGCACGAGGTCAGGACAACAAGAAGAGGAGGGTTGCTGCAGCCAGAGATTCAAGGCAATGCTCCATGATTCAAAACCACATTATCCACCTCAAGCCCAAGGCTGTTTCTGCTTTTTTACTAGGGGGTGCCTCTTTATGCCTTGGAGGCGAATCACTTGAGACCTTGACAGGGGTGTTGATGAGGGTCTTTTACTTTATTACCCGCATGTGTTGGTTAGCGAGAAGACAAGACGGACGAACCTGTTACAGTACGTCTGTGAATATCCGGGGAATAAATAATGTATGACGATGTTGTTTATTTACCTACTAATTAAAGGTCAAACAAAGTAGAGTAAACTCTTGGTTACACCTACCTACATACAGTTGGTCCACCAACTAAAGTTTACTTGACCGTTGTGCTCTGGACAACCGCGTTTCTAGAAGCTTGTGATTCCATGGGTGATGATCACTGCCTTGGAAGAGATTCCGTCAACATGGATTGGTTCATCATGTCTCTTGGCAGTCAGAGTACTGTTCTTGGTTCGACTAATTTTCTGGTAGAAGTGAACGTTTAGATCTTATAAGACATGTGTTTCTCTTGTTTCATATTAAACTGCCATCCTCGAGACAAAACCTATCCTTCTAGACTGCTTTACAATAAACAAAACACAAGACATGACTTGTAGCCCCACCAGAACGGAATTCAAATCATCAAGACCCACCCAAGCTTGAATCCCGACATCACCACTTTTAACCTTTTCTTTATCAGCATCTCCATCCGCTGATTGCGCTCCAGGTTCGAGCTGGACAATATAATGGAATGACTACGGCATCTCGTGTCTTTCATCACGCCCCTCGGCCTATTTCCTCCTCCGAGTTCAAAGATGCCGTCGACGCAGTATGTCGACCCCGGTTTCCAACCGCCCGCTTTGCCAGGCCACAGCGGATAAGTAGGTTATCTGGTGTCCTCTCATGTCTTCGATCTACTAACATAACGCCTTCAGTGCTGGCTATTAGTGGTGGTGTAGATTCAATGGCTCTTGCCTTCCTCATGTCCAAGCTTGTTCGTACATACAGAGGCTCCAAAGTTGCAGACAACCCCGTTCAAGGTGCTACGGCTGTTGTCATTGACCACAAACTTCGTGACGGAAGTGATCAAGAAGCGTTGGAAGTCGTCAAAGAACTGCGCAAGCTCGATATAAAAGCCAATGTTGCGCCCCTGGCTTGGAAGGACGAAAAGAGTGCCGGCCTCGATCCTCGTACACTTCCCAACGTTGAAGGTCTCGCGCGCACCTACCGATATCGCACACTCGGTCGTATCTGCGCTTACTTTGGGACCGACAGTCTTTTCTTTGCTCACCATCGAGACGATCAATACGAGACGGTACTTATGCGACTACTCGGCGGGCATGGATACCGAGGTCTTCAGGGTATAAGGGAGGCCAATTCGATACCCGAATGTTACGACTTGCACGGTGTCTACAAAAGTGGTCTTCTCGACGATCAACTCAAAGCAAATCCAGCACTCAGCTTCCGACCTCCTTCGCGCGAGATGAAACGACTGAAAAGGGCTTTCCGCCGCGAGTTAGCCCTCGAAACATCTTCTCTCACGGCAGATTTCCCAGACCTGGTCGATTCATACCCACAGTCGCCCGAGGCCGAAGGGACATCCGACGATGTCCCTTACCTCAAACCTTTGGAAGTTGAAGATGGTGGTGTCATGATATATCGCCCTCTTCTCGAATTCGACAAGGATAGGCTTATCGCTACGTGCGAAGCAAACGGGATCTCTTGGGTAGAAGATGCGACGAATAAGGATCCCACATTGACGACACGGAATGCTATCAGATATCTGGTTCGAAACCATGAGCTGCCCAAGGCTTTACAAAAGCCTGCTATTCTATCTTTGGCCGGGAGGTGCAAGCAGAGAACTAAGCTAGAGGAAGCCGAGGCAAAACGGTACCTCGTTCGGGAAGCCGTTGTTAAAGACTTCGACCCAAATGCAGGGACCTTGCTGATCCAGTTTCCAACACCTCGCCCATATAATAGACGACGCAAGGGGCGTTCATCTGAAAAGGAGATCAGACTGCGCAAGGAGCACCAAAGAATCATCATGAGCATCGCAGTTCGGAAGCTAATTGATTTTGTCACTCCTGAATACCATTTACCACCTCTTGCAAATCTCGAAAACGTTGTCAACAAGCTCGTTCCCGGTATGGCCCCTAAAAGCAACTCGACCCCAAAAGCTTTCACCACAGCCGGTGTATACTTTGATCCGATTGTAAAGGGAGGTTCCATCAAATGGCTTCTCTCTAGAACGCCCTACACTTCGACTCAGGCTCTTCCTTCCGCGAAACTTTACTGGCCAAGAACGAAACTCTCTTCTGTTCCTGACTTCAACAGCGAAGAACCTCTTGATAGCATCTCTACATTTCGACATAATGGATGGATAAAATCCAAGATGTTCGACGGCCGTTTCTGGGTGCGCCTTGGACCTAATAGGCGACCTATGTGGCAGGTTTCCCCTTACCGTGCGGAACACGCAAAAGCGTTCCGCAACGCTCTGTCACCAATCGGGAAAGCTCGGCTTGAAAAGCTGCTCAAGCATTACGCACCTGGAAAGATTCGTTATGCACTACCTGCTATCTACATTGTTGAAAAACAACAAGACCCCTACTCAACACATATGACCACACAGTTGACATTAGTCGCACTCCCCACGCTGGGAATACACGTACCTGGTCTTGAGCGATGGGTCAAATATGATGTGAGGTACAAGAAAGTTGATGTCACACTGTTAGGACATCAGCCTCGGAGGGAGAAGGAAAGGAATTTGGCCAAGTATCGGCCGCTGTTCGGACCGGCTCATAAGAGGAGGCTACGCCTGATGGGCAAGTTTGGACCACAGTGATGGTTCTGTGCTATACGATATGCTACGCTGTAACAACGATGATGGAGAGATAATTGCAACTTATACCCCTCAACTAATTCCAATCTACACTCGTTATGATGGGAAGCCTTCTAGACATGAGATAGAACTTATGGATGTGGACGTTATTTCAGAGTAAATCCCTTGGAAAACATATTAACTCGAATTGTCATTTCTGCGTTTATTTCATTAACATTCCGCGCGTTGCGGTAGTATATGTAGTCCAGTCCATTCAGCGAACGATGTGGTATCCCGATTCCTAACGAATGATGCCTTCCAAAAACACAAACTCCATAACTCCTCATAATCACTTTGTTTCCTCACTCTTGCTCAATATTATTTCTCCCCAATTACAACAACCTGGTCACCAGACACGGTGTTAACCTCAAGGGAAGAGTAGCCCTTATCACCCTTGCGTCCTCTAATGATGTTCATAAACGTTCCTCCCTCATGCGTAATCTTCAAATCCTTGCCCTTGAAGTCTTGCGAACCCGAGATAGACTGTGCATACAGAATACCCTCCCAGGATTGGGGATAAACGAGCTTGACGGTTCCGCTGATCGACTTGTGCTTTGACTGTAGGACTCCAAAGGAGGACTTTCTGGCTTTAGCTTCAGTCTCGTCGTTTTCTGTTAGAACGATGTATGGATCACGACCGCTCTTTGGGTCATAGGGTTCCAATGGAGGGATTGTACTCCCGATTGTAGCAAGGCTTGTCCACAAAGGCTCGAGAAGATTGACTTCAGTATCTCCACTCTTTGTGTCCGTCTCGAGATATGGGTTGTCTTGACCGGTAGCCATCTGTAAACTTGAATCCAGCACAGGCCAGATGTTGAGCTTCAGATCACCAGATTGTGATTTGAAAGATGCAGACGAACTTGCAGCTACATCAGCCGTAACATCTCCCGATGCAGTGATGATGTCGACTCTGTAGTCGCGTGGTGGAAACTCGCGATCTGGGCGAGGGGCCTTTCGAGCACTCATGATAGGCTCGTCGATCTTGATAGTTCCAGAAGCGGACCGCACTTTGAGAGTTGCAGATCGGACGGCCTGCGGGTTGACGGGCTTGGGGCCGACGCCGGTGGTAACGTCGCCAGAGGCGGTTCCGATATCAAGAAGATCGTACAAAGGATACCATCCTCTCACGTCGCCGCTGGCTGTATGAATATAGATCTCGCGAGAAGAAAGAGTGTATGGATCGACAGCCTTGTCAGTGTTGGTTGCGTCGATGGTAGGGGCGTTAATGTCGCCACTGGCACTTCGGATATTGACTCCATCCAAAGCTCCAAGGACGAGACCTTGGTCGATAATTACATCAAACTGCAAGGTATTGATAGTCAGAGTGTTGATAACCGATCCGCGAGACACCCAGAGAGTAGCTCGGACTTGGATACAAGGAGTCGTGTCAGTTTCATTCCAGGCAATCCTTCGCGGCACCACCACCTCGACGACTTGTGTCGTCTCATTGATCAACACATCGATACCGAGACCGTCAGTGTTAGAAAGGACCTCTGCCTCTATTTTAGCAGGCGATGATTTGTCCGTAGGACGAAGAATTAGCTCGCCCGAGATGTGGGTGTGCCATCCTTCACGGCCTCTGCTGTCCTTGACGGTTTGGATAATGGTAAGATCGCGTGATGGCTGGATGTCTAGCTCTTTGAAAACCTTTCCGAGGCGATGAGCCTCCTTGGGGCATGATTTGGAAGAATGCCAGGTGAACTTATCTCTGGCTGGGGATTTACCTGGCTATATCAGATGTCAGTTAACAGTCTCCAAGAGGCATGTATAAGTGATATGGAAGATTGGGGGTTACTTACACCGTGGCTCGAATGCATGGTGAAGCTACTAAAGATCATAAAGACGACAGAAAAGATCAATAACGAAGCAAGGAATGTCTTGAGTCTTCTTCGGACGTTGAGTCTTGCGATGAAATCTTTAAAATTCTCCCAACGTGAAGGTGGTTGACTTGAGTTGGGTGACGGATCGCTCATAGACTCTGGCGGATGAGAGTGAACAACAAGAGGCTGTGTTTCTTCAGGCCGACCCATTGTCGCTGTAGAAGTGAATGTTTGGTAATTGTTGACAGTGTTTGGTGAAGTGGGTGAAGGTGAATAAGCAGGTGGTGCATCAGCAGAGTGAGCAAACATCGAGATTCTTTGTGAATAAGACTGAGGCTGAGGCTGGGGAGTTGCAGCGATTGGATTCTCAGCAGCTCTTTCCTGCCTTTCGTGTAACGAGGCAGTGCTTCCACCATGCTCTTGTCTCTCAGAAGAACCCCCGGTATTTAACAACATCCTCTCCCTTTCAGCTTCTTGAGCTTTGGCATCTCGACTCAACTGCGTGGGATCCTCGACGAGCACGTTTGGGACGTGAGGAGAGCGAGATGACGACGACTCAGACGACGCGTGGAAGTAACCGTCAGTTGGCGAGAGTGCATCAGGTTCGTCATCAGAATCGGCGGAATAGAGGTTGTCAGAATAAGGAGCAGGCATTTTTTTTTTTTTGTTTCGCTTCGTCGTATAGTTTGCGAATCTAGCCTGGCCTGACCTAATCTGACCTGGGGGTGCGTGTAAGACGTATAAAACAAAGCGGTACAAGCGTATGTGTACGCGGCAATGTATTCACAAATAGATAGAATATGGGTTTGCACTTTGTATCACCAAAATAAAACTGCAAGTTGACTCTTTTTTTTGTTTCTACAAAAGACACGAGAGAGAAGAAAGATTAAAAGTTGAGTTGCGGCACGGAAAGACGGGAAAAGAGGGGAATAAGCATGCTCTGCTTCTATAGTCTGTTCTGGACCAAAAGATTTGCTCGGTTACGTTGCCTCAAGGACTTGATTTTGAGCATAACGACGTTGATCGATCACGCTATGGCCATTTTGGGGGTTTGTCACTGAGATGTGCAGATGAAGCGGAGTAATACAGCAAAATGTCCGATTTATCTGCCCATGAATGAGTGTGGATGTTCCTATCTGTGAGCTACAACATTGTTCAATGTATGCTCACTTTCATATGTCTTGTCTTCTAAGGATCATGATATTACTATCAACCAAGACTTTCATCTCATCTCAAAGTCCAATTTTAAGAAACAATTATTTCCTCTCTTCTCTTCTTATCTGTGCCCGTGCAAGTCATCCTTCGTCCATAAAGGGAGCAAAGATCCTCTATCGCCTTACAAAAGTTCCCCTCCAAACCCCGCAACCCCTTCTCTCCAATCCCTGTCAACTGCCCTTCCTGTGCAAGCTCAATCTTGCAGCTTTCTACTGCTGCGTAAGCTCCAGCATAAAAAGGATGCAGCTTTTTCTGTGGCACGCAATGCGGCTGACGACAACTTTGTCTCAAACTGCAGAGAAACAAGAAATAAATGACGTTTTATGTGATGCGCGGGAATAGACGTGATAGGGCTGATTGATAGCGACAGTCCATGGCTGGGATATCCTGGTATGTCTATCACCCGAGACAGACCTAGGCAAAACCTACGATTGATGGTGAGCCTCTCAGTTGTCATAATCGCCAGTTCTCTTGAGCTTGTCCTTTATGAGAGCTTCTCATATCATAGGAACAGGGTCGCCAGAGAAAACCACGCCTTCTTTGTATCAAACTCCATAGACGAATGGGCTGACACTAATAAACCATTGCGTCGGTATCAGACCCATATATCCGGCTCCGAACCCCGCGTGGGACACACTTTCAGTTGAGTCATGTCCGGTGTCGTCAGAACCTCTTTTCTTAAAAGAAACTGATTTATTCTTCATGAGACCACTTCGTCTCTTCTATCTCGTCTTTGAACAAATACATGTTCAACCAATTCTAGCCATCGCTCTTCCACCTTGAAAAATGAGAAACATGTAGTTTAATACAGCGTGGTGCTATTCGAAACACCACTCTGTTCATTGGCAATGGCTGTCAACCGCTTTCATCTGATATATCAATCCTTTCAACGCCATAAGATTCCCCTCCGTCGTAACGCAATGCCATCCAATCGCTAAGACCCCCGCTTTCCTGAATGTTGATGTGAAATTTGCGTGTGTATGTATAGTAAGTAGTAAATGTTGTTTGTGAGAACTGGGAAGGGTTCCTCAGTCTCATGTCTTTTGTCCCTTTCTTTCGTCTGATCGCTAGCTGGGACGACTAGTTCAATCCAAGGATTCTCTTGGAGTTCTCATACACCACCCATGTGATACTCAAGGCGGGTGCGACCTTGAGGAGGTTAGGTGTCAGACCCTTGTATAAGCCTCGGTAACCCTCTCGCTGGATCGTCTTTTTCGTCACGTCCCAAATACCAGTGTATGTCGCCGGGTGCATGGCTGTGCCCTGGGTCTGAAGTCGTGTTCGTACCACATTCAGGGGATAAACCACGCTAGCTCCAAAGGCTCCTGATGAAGCGCCTATAATTCCTGTAGCAATGTTTCCCAACTTGACGTCGTCTTCGTGCATGTTGTCTATTCGAGCATAGTAAGACTTGTACGAATTTTTTAGTAGTTCAAAGGTACCCATGTCGATGGCGCTGTAGGGAAACATTCCAATAAGTCCCATGGTTAGACCTCGGTAGCACGCACGCAGACCACCATCTGCGTACATCTTGACAGCGGTTTGACGAACAAGTGCTGCACCTGTAAGGCCGTCCTTGACGGTCTCACATTGTAGTCGGAACTTGAGGGTATCTAGGGGATAAACAGAGGCTCTGCTAGCGGTTAGTTTCGAGCCTCATCAGCATTGGATCAAACATACTGTGCAATCATGCCAGCAAGACCACCCGAGGCAAATTTTGACCACGAGCTGAGCTTCTTTGGATCTCCGTGTCCCTCGAAATTGGCGAGAGCTCGTTTGGCAGCTTCATATGAACCAAATTTTATGGCTGTTTCGGGCATAATCTTTACGACATTGAGACCGTTTCCTGGTACCGTTAATATCAGCAAATGTCACAGGCCCAGGGTCGCGTTGCACAAGTCTTACCTGCAAAGAGACTTCGAGCACCCCCTGACCGAACAAGATCTCGAAACGCATCGGTAAATGGCTTTGCTGCATTCTGTAGAGCGGCAACAGGACGACCTTGAATAAGCGCCGCACCCGCTGTCTCGGCTCGACTGGTCGTGTTCACAAGCAGATAAACCTTCAACCGATCGAGAGGCGCAGTAGCCGTACGCGACACTCCCCCGGCGATGGCACCTGCTAGAAAGTAGCCTGGATCAGGTACAAAGTGTGTTAGTCTAAACTTCTTGTGCACTGTTGTTGAAGCTCCAGTGGTGTGTTCATGGATGCCATCGTCCAGGTCTTGTGTAAGCGATTCGACTTCCTGCGATATCTCGGTAGCTGGGTCATCGTAGTCGGGATATGTAACCGCGGCCGCGGTAGCCATGTTCTCGGTTTTGTTTTGGGACTCATTCGAATTTGAAGTACTAGGTTTACTGACGGAAGTCGATGTCCGGTCCGGAAGGGGCTTTGGGTATTCGAAAGGAAAAGCAACTCTAAGAAGAGAGCCGAAAAGGGTTATGAAAAGAGAGCGAAAGCCGTCCGTACCTAAGCCCTCTAATGTTTCCTCACTAACGAGCGTGTCTCCCTCTGGGGTTACGCTGACCACCGAATAGTAAAAGTCAAGGACTGCATGGAGCTGAGAATCGTGATCGTGTGGGGGCATAAATAGGAGAAAGTTTCTAATAGTTCATGATCAGCTGCAAGTCCCTGATCCATTAAGAGTGTTTAGAATGGTGTATCAATGATAGGAGGTGGTCGCAAATGTATCGCCGAGTGGTTGAGTATGGGCTTGGCACATGACGTTATGAGAGTTATCCCCCGCCAAAATGACTGAGGGTCAGTCATGAGCAACGAGCATCTGACGGAATGCAACTGACGCCCAGTGGAGTCGTCAAGTAAAAAGAAAACAAGCATTTGAACAAAGTTTGAAATAAAAGACTGACCGCCATTCGTCAAATGTGACATAACCGTCGTTGTTGATATCCATATCGTCAAAGAACTCACTGAGGCGGCGGTTCGATAGTGTGAGTCCAGCGCTCTTAAAAGCTGTTTGAAGCTCAAGCTTGTCCAGCTTCCCATTTCCGTCCTTGTCAATTGATCTGAAAAGGGCAAAGAGCTGGCGCTCTGCATTCTCGACGAATTTTCGGAACTCTAAATGGCGTAAGAAAAAGCGAAAAGTAAGCTTTCAAGATCGCAGTCGCAGGAACCGAGGCAATATCGGAAGGTCGGAGAACGCTCGACAGTCACAGTAGACAGGTTGCGTACCGTTATATTGGATCTTTCCATCGCCATTTCTATCCACCTCTTCCATGATTCTTTTTAGCATGTCGTCGGCGTTCTTCATGGCTGCAGTTTCTCATCAGCATCTCTGTCCAGCATGAGCCAGCAAGGACCCTTCGCTTACGGTGATCAATCCTCCGAAGCCCCTTCTTCAGACCCTTAAGGTCAAGTTCTCCTGTATGATCAGGCTCGAGGCTCGACCAAAGCTCTTCGACTCGAGCATCGCGAGAGTTTTGTGGCTCTCTAAGCCCATCCTCAACTCCATCGACTATACTGGTCACGCTCATGACGATGGCTATGGATGCGCTGGTGGCATATCTCGATCCGGCAAGAGTTCAGGTTTGGTAGGCGCAGCGGCGCAAAAAGCCCTGCGCTGCAGGGAAGCGTCGTCTTTATGGGGTTGTAAAATAAGGGTTATCGAGCTGCTGCGAAATCGAAGGGAGTGCTATCGGGCTACCGGAAGGACATTGCTGAACAGGGCATCTGAGGTCAGGAAGAAAAAGCTGGTGTTGAAATGCCAATTGGCGAGCAAGCTGTGACGTTGGTAGCTGGGAGGGAACCCCAAACTGGGTTAATCTTTTGCTACTCTTGCCTTGGGGTACCATAAACACTGGTCACTGAAAGTGTAATAGCCGAAATTAACAAGTCATTTTATGCCATTTAGATCCATATTTTAGATTGTTTATTTTTGTAGCCTAAACCTCCGGGGTCAACTTTTCTGTTACCTGTTAGTCTTGCTAGAAAAATACATCAGAATTGCCAGTGGAGCTAAGCCCCGGCTTTCAGAAGCCGCCCTGGGCGCTGTCGGGCACTGCTGGAGCTGCTCTAACGATCAATCAGAGGCACTGTATTATGCTTAGTGCCCGGAAGGACCCGCTGAGCTATTCTCTTGCTGTCTCTAGCTGCCAGCATCCTCGCTCTGTCTCGGCATAAAACTAAAGGGCTCCTCATGTTTGAATCAATTTCTTCTAGAAGAATGAAAATATTCACATGGTCTGAAACTAGACAGGTAGTTTAGTCCTAGTGTATTGAGGGTCTATCAAAATTTTCTTCTCAAGCAAAGAAGATTTGTGCCAAGCTTGCCTCATTACTGGTTGGGGTCTGGTTGACAGGTTCAAACAGACAATGTGCCAACCTCGTAACAGAATTAGAGTAAGTGTCGGTGTTGCGGAGGACAGCCGGCCAACCGAGGGGCACTAATTTAATTGTTGCCAGCTCTGAGACTTACAAGGAAGACATCTCCATGGTCCAAATTAGAGCCTCCATACCTTGTACTCACCTGTGTTTAGTTGTAATTCTGGCAGTTAGTGGTAATCCAGAACCAACATGCTCAATCCTACAGCTCTGGCGCACAAAAACAGTTATATAAATTTGATCTCTAAGCTCAAAGGTCCAAACTCCATGAAACGCCCTACGCGTGTATCCTATCCTGTGTATGCTCGCCCCATAAGTAAGTACTTCATGTCTCGTATCTCGTATCGCTAATACCGATATTACTTATCGAGCCCTCGCGCCTTAACAAATCTATTAATTTGTTCTCGGGTGAGCTTGTCGTTGTAATGCTCATAACATTCGTAAAAAGAGATGATCTCCTGCGTAGCATCCACCATCGATGCAATATCCACGTTGCTGTCAACCAACCACTTGGCAAACCTCTGCACTCTGGACACTCGAGCTTGCTGCTGCCTCTCCTTTGGCTCCGCGGTTGCAGCCTCGGTAGTTCCTCCTCCTGGCGTCTGCTGGCCTTGCGCACGCATCAGCGCCTGTTGAGCTGCTGCGAGTCCTGCTGCTGCCGCTGCCCCTGAAGCGTTTTGCCCATGCCCAGAATTGTTGGGTCTGAGAACCAGCGCCAGAAGCATGGCTACCATTGCAATGACATGAGGAGGGTATAGCAGCGGAAGGTCTGTCATGAAGTGATCGTTAATCACCGACCGGGCAAGCTGCACCTCGTCCTCTTGCAATCCAAGTTCGCTTCGCAGTGCAATGACCGTTCGGTATGGTTGGTATACGATAAGTTGCGATCGCATTTCACTTATCATCATGAACTCGCACTCTCCCAGCTTGGACGTGTCGATGGCGACGAGATCTCCCCACATCTGTCGCGCCTCTGTAACGATAAGTCGGATATGCTGAGGTGACTCTTCTATCTTGCATGCAAGGTATATCGCGGTCGCTATCACGAGGTACGGGTTCGTGCGGCGGATCTCGACTTTCGAATAGAATCGTTTCATGTATACCTGCGCCGTGGCCATTGATTGTTGTCGAATCGTCAGTCGCTTCGCCAACCTTATCAGCTCTATTTGTTCAAGTCAGCCATGTCGCATGCTCCGAGAGGGTAAATAAGGTCACGCACGCTGATTAAAGTATATGTTCAAATGGCGTTGCTGCGGGAGGGGAAACATGCGCACGAGCTCTGCATTGTCTTCCTCGAGCTTCTGTCGCATTGTCGCGAGCTGTTCCTTGGTGAAGGTCCAGAAGCGACATTGTGTTGACTGCCAATAACTGGCGGACATGGCTCCGGATATGTGTACCGCTCAAGCAAGTTCCCTGTGCCTGGGAGTTGAATTTGTAAGAGTAACGCTTGCGACAGCCTGAGGCTGTTGAAGGTTTGTTGGCTAAAGTATGGAATGGAGACAAGGCTGATGGCGCCACATTGAAGGGTCTTGTGGCTGATTGGCGATAGACAAGACCAGGCTATTAGCTGTGGCGACAATAACATGAACGTCCAGTATCTTTCAGTTATCTTGTGAATGCAATTAAGCGTTATCTTTAAATGTAATGACTGGTTCTATTTAAAGAAAAAAAATCCGTCGTTCATCTCGAAAAGTCGTGGTATTCGTCAAAGACATTCGCATCATAAACTTGCGTATAGGAGGGTTTAATAAACCACAAAACCAAACAAAAGAATCGTCTATTGTCTTCCAGGACGCCGTTGGGTATCAAGCCTGATCCAAAAGCACATCACCCCTTGCTATTTTCTCAAATATTGCTGTCACCTCAGACTCCGTTAATGTCGTGCTCCTGCTCAAATCGTACATTTGAATTCCCTTGTCAGAAGGTCTAAAGAGAAGTGCGCCGTTAGAATCCTCCTCAACAATTTCTATGAAACCAAGTTTTGATCCCAAAGATCCCATATATCCGGGAACAAGCGCACAAAAGAATGCGGTCAAGTCGGGCATCGGATATGATTTGTCGGAGTATTGGCCGTCTAATGAGACGCTGTTTGTGACGATCTTGAGGGGATCCTCGCGGCAGTTGAAGCCTAGAATTCGCTTCTCCAGACAATGACCTCCGGCATTCTTCAGACCTAGCGCTGAGTATTTTATACTTTGTGCTGTGTGTGAAGGTACGACGGTAAACTTTGAGAATTCTGTTGATCGATTAAGCACTGTTTTGGCAGCTTCCCGGTTGAGGGCGATATTGAACTGATTTGCAAATAGATTTGCCGACATATCACAAGAACCCTGGCAGTTGTCAGTATATAGAATCAGTATATCGTAACTTGAGACATACCACTTGCAGATGGCATTTAATTTTACTAGCCACTCCTTTTTCAAGAAACAGTCTCAAGATCCTTAAAGAGGAACCCCCAAAGAAACGAACACTTGCTGCAGTTTCAATCGCATTATAGAGAGCGTTTAAGTTAAGGGGCTGTACGGATGTGTTCGAATTGCCTTCTTTCTGTGCGCTTCTCTTAACACATTCCTCGTACCAGTTTTGTAGGCTCTTCGTTCGCTGTGGCAAAGGTTCGTTCAGGATATTATCGTATGCCTCCAGCTCGTCTGCGCTCCGGTTGACAAGCTCTTCATGGTGATGAAAATTAAGGTTCACAGGATTTTCGATTTCGTCTAGGCTTTCAAAGTCCACGGAAACTTTATTTGAGTCGTTGTTTGACCACTCGGCCAAACAAGAAGCAAAGTCCCAAGCAGTGAGGCGACCATGAAGTGCAGCATTGTCCTTTGAGCCGTATTCCGATTTGACAGCCATTTGAAGCTGCATGGATATTAGTAAGATTCATAATGTATTCTGAGGAAGAGGAGCTTACTAGATGACGGTCAGCTTCTTTGAGACCCTCAGTCTTATCAAGATCCTTCTGCTTGATAAGTCCACCCAGAAGCACCTTGAAAGGGTTCCCTAGTGACGAAAAGTGCTTTTGTATCAAATCTTTACATTTGGATACTTGCTCCGCAGTCATGGATAGTCCAAAACACACTTGACGAGGCTCTATAATCCAAATCACACGAGTGTTCGGCCTCTGGTATGTCGCCTTCCACAGAGCCATGGCGGCGGCGAGGTTGTCCGAGTCGATGGAGTCATTATAATAAATGACGAGATTCTCGCCCATGGTGAAAATATCTCTCTGTTTGTTTCTGGTATAATTGTGTTTTCTGATAAGTGAATTGCGCTGGAGTTGTTCGGGGTGATGAGAGATTTATTATGAATCTAGGCCATTATGATTCCTTTGAGAGAAGCTACGGAGGCTGTGCAGTATTAATTGTAAGCTTGTGCCACTTAAAAAAAAACTGCCCCGCGAAGCGCCTCGCCACAACCAATGAATCACAAAGTCAACCTTCTCGCCGGAGTGACAGGCTGCAGCCTTGTAAGTGAAAAAGATTTATGGGTTTGGGCTTTTCACAGGCTGTTTAGGATGTGTTTCATAGCCCTCTTCCAATTCCACCCTTTTTCCACCTTTGTTCGCGTACCAAAGACAACTAACACGGAAGCAGAAATGGCCGGGCCATCCCAGTCGCTCTAGTTTAAAGGGCTGGGCAGTCGATAACTCTTTCAGAAGTCTTATTGCCTCCAAATAACGATGTCTCCAGATCAAGGAGGGCGCCCATGCTCAAGATCCACGTGGTACAACATAGCACGACATACAATCTGGACCGCAGTCTAGAATCATGTGGCGAAGAACAAGGATACTCCTACTTCGATAGTATGATTACATGGCTATTTGAAGAGAAATACATGTTCAGAAAGTAATGTATGAGAAATGTTTGGCGGCCCATCTTGGTCTTATTTCGAGTGTCTCCTTGGAGTTCATATATCCCTAAACTTGATTCTTCGTCACCGTCCACAACACCAAACAGCAAAACAAACAAAAAAGGGGGCATAGGTCCCTTCTAGCTTACCAAATCCAAGTATATGTCTTTTCTCCCCGTGCATAGGTATGTTTGCTGTTCATTCAGCCCACGCTAAGGCATGGTCCTCTCAAAGAAACGGGCGTTTTCATTCATCATTGTTTGAAATTCGTCGTATATCAAAGGTTCGCAACTATTATCCCACGAGCTCACCACTACTGAGTCACAACGTTAGCCTTTCTATGAGGCTGTGTTTAACTGGTGGTGTGTCCCGGCTAATTTGTTTGCTCTATGATGAGGATTGGTCGTTGTAATCCCGCACTTACACTTGGCTTCACAGGATTGTAGTCTAGCAAGGTTCGTAACAGTTCTAAAATATCCCTGACAAACTAAAGTCTCTTCAATGGCTAGGTAGGTCCAATACTGACGCTATCAAATTACAATATTCCTCAGGATGGTCGGGCCTATGACAAATATGAGTTTAGAGGCCAGGCCAAAACCACAAGGCACTCTCTTTCCTGAAATTCAATACCTGATTCATCACTCAGCCCTAAGCTAGATCTCCTGGTCAGTACTTGTGATATTAAGGCTGTGTTGGGCTCTACTGGAGAGAGTGTTGTCATGGGATCGTGCATAAGTCTAGACACGTGGCAGAAGCCTCCTATATACTATAATTTTCAACTTGATCTTCAGTATACCATGGTAAGGGATTAGTTATAGCACATATTTATTGTTCTTGTCAAGTACATCCCGGCTAAATAAAGAGGTACATAGACTGTCCGCAACACAGGTCCATCACCTTGTGAGATGCGTACAACACGTGGGCATCTTTTTTCTGTTAGTGCCCTTGCGGGGAGAAAACACAAGACCTAACTAAGCTTAGGCTTCAGAACATAAAAAGCCTAAGAGTATGCCCAAAGTTGCATCAAACAATCAAGTCGTTTTTGTCCTTCAGTTGGGAAGACTCGAGTTTCATGTGATCCCTGGACTGCCATTATGAAATCGACAGTTAGACACTGGCGGTTACTCTTCACCATATGACCCTTTTCTCATTGAGATTTAATTCATCGGGCTAATGAAGAAGTGGTCGTTCGTCATGCCCTTGACTTGAAACTTCATTCCAACCTCAAGATGTCCCTCAACACTTGGTGCGCAAAGCATTCCAAAGCTTGGCTTGAACTTGAGTCCAGCGTCGATTCTTCGATACTTCATCAACTGGTTCCAAGGCTGGCGTGGGTGCTTCTCGGCCGTGAGAGGGTGAACATTGGGCACCTGGCATCGCAGGCAGCGGCATACAACGTCGAGATCAAGGCGATGTTCACCTTCTCCAATTTGCAGAGTCTTCCATCCGTCTTCGACCCACGGTACACTTCCACGAATGATGATGTTTGGTCGGAAGCGCTCAATCTCGATCTTGTCCTCTCCGGCATTAGCGAGACGTTCGTTCAACTCGTTCATGCTTGCCATGGAAGCAACCTTATACGTGTCTCAAATTAGCTGAAGTTCTAGACCTCTTGTCATCATTCAAGCTCGTGACTTACCAGCACAGGCATCATATCAGCGAATTTGGTGGCTTCGGTACGACCCAGACGCTGAGGGGTTCCGTTACCACGCAGAACTCGGGGTGTAGGACCTTTGTATACCAGGCGGACATCCATGTTCAAGAACACTGAGATAGGCTTTGTGAGGGTGGCTGAGTATTCCCAAGCGTCGGTCTTCTCGCTCCAAATCTCTGCTTTAATCAACTCAGCATTCTTCTCGAGCCATTGAGTCGTGGGGTGAGCTGGTATTTCGAATGAGTGCTCCTTGAGAGCGATAGTAAGCATATCCGTATCAGCATCCCAAGCCGTTGTAATAAGAGTCATGTTGGAGTTTGTCCTGATGGTGATAAATTGGCGCTTTTCAGCCGTGACAAACATCCAGTTACGGTCCAAGTCTAGACCTGTCCGCAGGAGCTTTGTTGATTTTACATCAAAGCCCCGGCATGACTTAATGGGGTATACTCGCAGGCGTACAATTTCATCGTTAGCTGGCAGAGGCAGTGACGACTTAGAAGCAGATCGATTGCCGATTACACGCGAGAGAATAAAAATAAGAACTATAGGCAGTATTAATGAACTGGCAACAAACAATGTCTGTGCTATTGAAGAGCTTGGAATGATATTAAACGAGTCCATTTCGATGCAATGGGCGATATTCAGTTGGTGGTGAGTATGAGTCAAGTTATTACACGGAGAAAGAAAAAGCCAAGACGTAGCGAGCCGTTGCGGGATCATCGGAGGATTTACGCACTTGACCCGTTCCGGAAGGTATTCAAGCCGAGCTACATAACTCTTAGGAATCAAGTCGAGCTGAGGTTTATTCGATGCTAAAGGACAAATCGAAATGCAGTTAAATTATATTTGATTACATTGGGTCCGCTTTAAGGTAGTTAGATCTCTTGGGGCCATGATGCATGATGCCCTCGACTTGTTGAAGGAGTACAAATGATATGCAAGAGCCGTGTGTTATTCCAATACTCCGGAAGTGCATATGATGATACTACATTATTCTTATACGTATTGTCCAGGTCTATATCTCCAAATATAAATGAGACAAAATATTTCGAGAACATAAAACCCATGGACTATGCCAGTACGTCACTGTATCTCCCGCCACCTTGAGACCACCAGTGCTCCCAGCAGAGGTTTTGTCATCAAAGCACATAACCCCGAAAATAACGACAAGATAGATGTCTTGAGCTCCAGAGATACTACCAGGGTAGGATCTATATTGACAGGGTAGAGAAGACTCAACCCGTCCGGGTTCCAAGAGAGTTCCTAAAGTTGGTTCCTTTTGTGGCGAGTTAGACAGAAACGATTAACTGTGCATCAATGTACGATCTAGTCAATAAATACACGAGACGGAGTCACAGTGACAGTCTATTATTCAATTCAATGGTTAAAACAAGCGAAAGGATTTAGGGCAACATGCACAACCCCCTCGACTTGTTGTAGCACAAAGTATACAAGCTATCAACTACTAGCCCACGAACTCACTTAGATACGGCAGCATTTCTTTACTCCCTCCACTACACTTTTCACACCGGGGATAATGCTCCTCCTCCAAGCTACACTGTTGTCAGTCAGCAAATGTCAAGCCCACCGTGGTCAATGATATATACCAATTTTGGTAACTAACAAAACACATACGACCATACCTATCAGAAAACTCGGGATCCCGTCCGCTCTCCCATAGATAAGCTGGTAAGGGGCGGATTAGTAGTTGGGTCGGTGACGACCAGCGAATCCCCGCTGTTGTATGTTTTTTGGTGTTGATATCTTTTTGTGGTTGTAGGTAGGTCTAAGAGGACTCCACCTTGTACGCAAGGTACTCTTTTTGCAAAGGATTTTAAATCTCAGAGATGCACAGCGAGTTCCTACAAAGATCTAGAGGTCAAGATACACTATGTGAGTAGTTGTCTCATCGTGATTAGTATTCTAATAGTATCCTTGAGGACCATAAACGAATCAGCGCTGAAGCATCCCATCTGAAAGTCAATGGAACCTCTCGTCAGGTGACGTAGTAATGTCCCCGCAAAGTGTGGCGCGCGGGGAGACTTGCATTGAAGCAAGGGGTGGCGCGGTCTGGGCTGAGTTTGTGCTCGGACTGGGAACTGCCATTGTTCTCCGCCAGGTGAGACACTGGTAGTCCAAGGTCAGGGTCGAGATGGCGAAAGAAGCGCTCTAGCCGACAAAGAGTCTCTTTGGAGAAATAGCGGTGTGTGGTGATGTATTATGGCACGCCGTGTGCATCACTGAATGGGCTCGTCTCATGATATAGAGAGGGGTTGAGGACTCGTGATGGTCAAAATTGAACAACTGTGAACGATTGAGATGCGTGTACCTGGTTGTTGCTTACTGAGATCGTGAGTTGATGAAATGGCATGGGTCTTGCATGGGTATAGATGGCTGATTGCGTCAATGTGGGCAGATAGGAAGAGAGCTAAAGACACCTGACTCAAGAATTGATTTTGAGAACAGTGCTGTATCGTTGCTCAACTTAACATTTGTGTCGACATGTCTCTCTTTCCCTGTCAATTAAATTAATCCCAGTTAATGAGTGAGGTTGGGATAATACCGAATGTTCGCCCACTATTACGGTATGCGGGCACTTGGACGCAACAACGTCTTTTGCCACCAGGACCCTTAAGGGTATCAAACCTGTTGTACTTTGTATGTACCGTTCTGAATGGCTTGTTCCTCGTAATCTGAGTTTATTATCTGTCAACATTAACTTTATGTTTGTTTTGTTCTTTGTTGAGAGACCTGTCCAGAATGCCGTATGGTTTGCGCTAGGAAGCCGAAACACCAAGCTTTACGCATTCGGCCGAGGGTCTCGAAACCTTTCGGGGTAGAATCTGGAGGCGCTCTCCAGGAACGGGGAGTTCAATATTAGGGGATTGATCGGTTCTCTTGTCGTCTTGACGAGCGATCGGCGTGGGCGACCAACAAACGACAAACGACAACCAAGAGAGAAGTGCGTCAGGTTTAAACCTCCCGCTAAAGCTCACTAACAGGCCTTTGCAAGCAAGTGAGGTTCACAGCCAGCCCAAAATAGGTGTAGATAGCGCAGCATCGTCCCCACAATGATGTCCTGGCAAATGACACAACCTCGAGGGTTTCTCGTGGCGTGGTCCGGTACGGTAACTTGGTGGTAAATCGAGACAGCCTGGCAGCCCTGATGGAACGCTTTGACGTTGAGACAGAGAAAAGCAAAGCAGACCTGACCAGCCAGGTTAGCAGACAGGGTAGGGCAGGCAGGACAGGGCAAGGTGGTTGCTTGTTTGATAAAGATGAGCGACGATCTGGTCTGGATGCGAACTGAACAAAGGCTGGATTGGGTTGCACCAGAGGAGGCAGTATCAAAGACTAACAAAAGAATATTCTAAACAAGTTACAGTTCAGTACTGATGGTGGGTTGCACTCTGAGCATGCAGAGATAAGATGAGGCTGGCGGCAAAGCGGACCTCTTAGCATGATGAAACGATTGACGATATGCATATGCATCAACAAAACTCCCAAGTAGGTGCATTAAAACACCGAAAATCAGTACCAAGCTGCATTTTGCCGCCGTCGTCACTTGCTTATCGTTATCGTCAGCGCTCACCACTCAACGACGATCGCTGATAATCTATTCTGTAACACACGAAACACGATCTCACCCGTTGGACATTGTGCACATTAAAGACACTGATCTTTGTTGAATCTCTCTACTTTGATGGGCGCCCGCAAAGACGTTGCAACCGCCATGCCACGACCGAAAAAGAGTTGTCTCGCCAAGAAAGACTTTCGGGCAGAGCGACTTCACAGTACAGGGTGGATACAGTGCAGTGCACACAAAAAGGTAGTGCAACTGAATTTGGACTGGAATCGTGGGTTGGGGTTGGGGTTGGGGTTGGGCTGGCTTATTTTAGATGTGTGTGGGTGAGGTTACCTTAACCTTGAAGGACAACGCCACAGTGTTTTGGTTCCATTCTAGGTTCGTTAACCTCTCTCTCTCTCTTCGTGATCAGGGTTGTTGATGAAGATATGGTCTGGGCTTTGACATGCCCTGGATCACTACCCTACAGCATGGCGATGATCAGCATCATGGCACTCACGTCACATAAGACTTCCAGAAGCCAGAGAATGATGATGATCCTTCTATCAATCAGTTTGCCTCTTGTGGCGACATTTATTTTAGCACCAAAGAACCCTGAAGACCGCTTCGATAATGGTTCGACCACTGACGAAACAGTGTGTTGATTGTCAACAACATCTCATTCGGCCTCTGACCAGGGCATAAAAACAACAACAAAGGGAAGGGGATGCGATCTGCAGACTGGAGGGGCCATGACAGAATAGCACAGTGCAAAAGCTTTGTCCAGCCCAGTCCGCCACGTTTCCAACGGACCAAGGATCCATGGCCAGACCCAGGCCACCAAGGACAGCGCAAGACAGGGTCTTGAGGCTGCCCAGTCATGCCTGATACCAACCCTCCCTCATATGGCGCTGGTGGTCGGGAATGGCTTCTTTGACGGTCATGCACAGTGCTCTTTTAGACCTTAGTGCTCACTGCCCCAAAAGGTACCGTGCTGGTCGAGCCATCACCGCCTGCCTACCACCAATCCACCTGAGCCATCGCCGCCCCCGATGCCTTTACAGTGCAGAACTGCCCGACGCCTTGCCTTTCCGCTCGTCCCCTCCCTTCCCTTCCCTTCCCGTCCCGCAATGGACGACGATGCGATGCTATGTTGACTGGGGGGCTGCTTCGGCAGTGCGCTGCATCGAACTGCAAGCACTTGACATGACTGCACCTCAAATCGCCTAACAGACAGGCCCCGTTCGGCGAGACAAGACAAGATATTCAGTACCTGATGATACCGTGCCTGGTCCGCGTCAATACACCAGATCAGATATGTACGCCGTGATATTAATGAAAAATTGATTGTAACTGCGGGGCTCAACATCTGTCGCAGATGAGAAACAACAGTCAATTAATTCCGTATGGACGAAGCGCGAAGGACCAAGGTAGTGGATAATAACAATATCAGCATGTCAACAAAAGGACAGGCGCGCGCAATCCAATCAATTGACAAAATTAGCATGCTGCATCAGGGTATAGCGCCTAATCTCACGACTACGAGAGCCTTGAAGGGGACGGTTCAGAAAGGGGTTTGCCTGCGCTAGCACAGGGGGATTGCAGTGGGAGAGTGGGAGAGGCACGCGGTCGAGATGGTGCCTGAGACTGAGACTGCGACTGCGACTCCAAGTGGAGGATTCTCACTGTGTGTTTTGGTATCTGTATGGGTAGCCCAGATTCCGTCACTCACCTGATGAACAATGCGCACCCCTGGACCGACAGACTAACCTAGCCTGTGTCTGGTGTACAGTGCTGTACAGTATAAAGAGACAGGCCTGAGGTCTCACGATCCAAACGTGTTTGGAACAAAGCTGAGAGCAGTCAAGTGATGAAGGTTGGAATGGGGAACCCCGAGAAAGCCGACCCGACACTTGGTCTTCAATCTAGCACTGGGCTTCGTGAGTGTGAGTGCAGTAGCTCACACCCTTGTAGGATAGACGCTGAGTTTCGGATACCGCCTGGTGTGCAGACAAGCCCAGAATAGGACAGGTAGCGTGCACTCAGCCCCCTAGCAAATGCGTGTGTTGTCCAGCTTTCTGAACACGCCAGTGATACTGTGCTCGACGGAGAGAAGCAGACTGTGTGCTTTTCCTAAACATCCCTACCCTGAGAGACTAGGGTTAGCTAGTAGCATGCCACCAAGATTACACTGTGGCACACGCTATTCTGCTCATATGCCAATCATAACAAGGTGGCAAAGCAAGCCTGTCCACCGTTTGCAGGTCGTGATTTGCCAGGACATGGTCCCACCCTCATCTCCTTGTTCTGCAGGCGCTTCATGTGGATTTTAGTGGAGGTCTAGTGGACCTTGGTGGACTCACAGTGTCCCCAACCAACAAGAACCCATTGCCCGCCGTCCCCGGTGTGCAGTCACTAAACTGTAGGTATCCCGCCTGTCCCCTTCCATTTCTATTTTACTTATCAAAGCCATCCGTCACCTTCCAATCTCACTCCGCCCCTCCTCTTGTACCTCGTCTCGCTTCGCTCCCACTCTATTTCCCACAATTCATCTCTTGTAACCAAAAACCTACATCAACCAACAAACTTGCTTCCTTCTACATTTGCAACTCACCACATAACCTTACCTCTCCTATTTTGTCTGCGACTTTTTCGGAGTTGTCCATCACGACTATTAACGACGACTATTCAACACTTCATTTCTTGACTGTGTTTTTATCGCCTACCTGATTAATCCCGCACCAATTCCGGAATCACAACAACGCGACTTTCGCCCAAACTCACATAATGTCTGCATACTACACCTACAACGCTCACCCAGTGCACCCCGCTCCCATGTCGCACAACCACCACGCCGGCCGAAATCGCAGAGCTCCTCGTCTCTCCATGTCTCAACAAGTCCAGCGCCAGTTCCGATCTGGTCCCCGTAACATGAACTTGAAGGATCCCGAGGCTGCCGCCATCACCTCTTTCCGCACCAAGTTCGAGACCAGCCGATCTTTTGATCTTGAGGACGATATGGAGTTCTGCCCCGGTCTGTTGACTGAGAACGACGTGAGTTGTCCCGCTGCTGTCTTCCACAGCGCATCTATCTGACCTGTTGTCCGCAGTACGTGTCTATCTCCAGCGCGTCCGAGCGTTCCTCACTAGCCAGCAACTCTCCCGACTCTTCTCCCACGCAACACCCCAACACTGTTGCTCCTGGCTTCTCGCTCAACTCGACATCCCCCGCCTTCATCCCCCCCTCTTACCAGCATCAGCCAAGCATGAAGCTTCACCAGCCCTCCGCTACTCGCGGCCGCAATGCCATCCCCATCATCAACCCTGCTACTGGCATTACCATGTCAAGCCCTCCTCAGTCAGTATCGCCTGGCAGGATGCAACAGTCTCTTCGCCGATGGTAAGCCGTACGCAGTCGCTCTCCACACATCTTGTATGGGCCGACTGGCGTGTCGCACCACCGGCGATGCGCTTTGAACTGTAAACACAACCGTTCGTTCTTGGCAGCTGTTTTTATCTTGGCGGGCATATTGACCGATCAAGACTTGATCTTGGCATCATCTTATCATATGGGCTGGTTACCTCAAGAGCTTTTTGGGGAGTATTCGCTTGATGCGACTGCTCACATTGTTGGCTACAACATCTTTCGACAACCATTACTTTTACCCTCCAAACCTATCTCACCTGTACAAACATCCCTAATCGACATGTCTTGTTCTAACCAACAAGTTAATGAGGATATTACTGGCACGGCTTGATAAAGATCGATACCATTTTCGGCTTGGTTACTTTGTTATTTTTGCAACAAATCAAATACCTAGGGTTGGGTGTCCGCCTCTCAAGATGAGGCTTCAAGACACGAACGGGCGTTTCTTTGCTTTTTAAGACGACATTGCATCGGTGTTCGGCGGCACAAGTATCGGAATATCTTGGCATCAATTGTTTTCATTTTTTACATGGTTGGGCGCGGGTTGGCCTACCATTCATACCAAAATGTCTTCTCTCATCGCGGTCATGGGTTATGAAGTCAACAAGAGAAAAAGAACAACATAGAAGGGAGTGCTTTTTCGCAAGCGGGGTCTTTACCGGTGTTATTTGATCGGTCGCATCTTGGAAATATCTTTGGGCGGTGATCAGGATTGAGATGAACGGTGTTTTGCGAGTATTGGGATCCCTAATCGGGATGGAATCTGGGAAATTACGGGGAGTTGGTCGAATTTCTGGTGTTGTCCCGTTGCTGCAATGAACGGGAATTGAAAAGGAAACCACCTTTGCCCCTTCGTTTTCTTTGTATCATGGGACACCCTATATATTTGTCCTCTTTTTGTTTTCTTGCTCATGGATTGGGCTTTCAGCACCAGCGCTGGCCTACCTTGTTTTTTGGGACCGGAGTAGTTTATACTTTGGAGCGTTGTTTGGTTTGCCCTTGTCCTGGTTGGACGGGCTTCTTTTACAAATATTTTTCTCGCCTTGTCTAGCATCTGGAGTGTTGGGGGCCTGGGACACACATGTCATGATCAGATACAAAGAGGTTATTTGGAATACGGGAGGCCCTCGAGCCTGGTTTTGCACTGCAGCGGTAGACTGCATTTGCGTGGCTATTGTTAACTGGGTATTGGCGCTGTCTGGTTGTGACAACGCGGCTTCATCGCTGCGAGACGAGAATATACGAATGTTCAAATAACTTGAGTTTCAATGTGTGACATGTGTTGAGTGATGTAGTGTTTTGTATCTTGTGTGAGGGATTTGCTATGAGATCATGACGTGCTGTATGGTCACTCGATGATAGACATACGTGAACCGTGCTTGAATTGACTTACAGTTGGCCACCTATGGCAAAATGAACATTGATTTACGGTATTGGTCTCTACATGGCGCAATGAATAGTCCATTTTGTGATGAGTATAGGATACAATTTGCTTGTGAAGTTCATTCAACCTCAACCCCACACTACACGGACACAAGGTAGGTTCACAACAAACAGCCCATATTGTCAACCACAGCCACTCAATTGGGTCCCCCTGGATCTGTCTGTACCTTGCTTCCTCGGCAGGAACTTCGCAAACAGGTCCATAGCCATCCCAATTGGGATAGCATGGTCAGTAGTGGAGAATTGACGCATCGAGTCCATCTTCATTTCAAGGAGAAATGGAATAAAAGAGACGGCGTAAAGTTGATGATGCTCGTGACGTCATTCTCCCGCAAATGGTCGACACTCATACCCGAGGGGAGCAGTATTAAGCTCTTCTCCTCTGCAGTTGTTTTTCCCTCTCCTTCTCATCAATTCATCTAATCCTTCGAAATAATCACTTCACCTTTTCAATAACAACCGCCAATATGATGTCTGCTCGATCCATGATGACTATGCGCTCTGCGCAGGCTAGCAAGATGATCCTTGGACGAGGATTCTTTACCACATCAACACGTCTCGGTCTCAAGGAGTCTTCAACTCGTAAGTTTCACCTTTCATAGAGTAGAGAAAAACTCTTTCTTACACCGCGTACAGAAACCGACGTCGACTACGAGAAGCACAAGCAGGACTCTCTCAAGAAGCAGAAGGAGGGCAGCGGCCACTGGAAGCCCGAGCTCGCTTCTGACAGCGAGGAGGCCGTCAAGGCTGACCGATCGCAAACCGATCCTGCGAAGGACATCAAGAACCTCCAGGAGCGAACGAAGAAGGCGGCCGAGGAGACTCACAAGGCTGGCACCAGCACCCGGGATAACATGTAAAAGGTGTTTGACTTATTGATTGATTAAATGAAATGAGCGGTTGACGGTTTGATCAATGGGTTGTTGTTCTGGGAGTTATAAGGTCCGGATGATAGACTGGCAACGTCTGAACAAAATAGTTTATTAATGAGACTTGTCTTGATGACAATATTTCAATGCCGTGACTTAACAATCTGACCTTGGTGATTCCATACAATTGTGAATTTTAGTCAATTGCTTCTCTATTAGGCCAATACAGATAGCTCAATATAGTTTATTTGTTTTGTGTGAACTTGTCTCTTGGCAATGCGCTCATCATACATTTTTGTGTTGGGAGATAAGTGGTGTTTAAGGCATTGTAACCTTTCTTTCCCAGAACTATCCATACCCCCGAACTCAACATTTTAACCACCAAAAAGATCTGAAAGAATATCCACGGACATGTCACGATATCTTCTATTTCAACGGAAGAAATATCATTTGCATGAACAATTGACGCGTTGGTGATGCAATCAACACTCAACTAATACAGGGTAGCTCCAGTCGCCATGCCCCTCAAGCTAAGCTCCTCTTATCGATAACTCCAAATATTCGAGCTCCTCCAAATCATCAATATTTCGCCGGTCTCGGTCGATCGGTTTAAACCTCCGAAGCTCCCAATATTCTTCTTCCCCCTCCTCCAGGGTCTTGTCCAGTCTATTGATCACCCTTAAACCCTCAAATCGAAAAAAATCTACCGACCACCTCGAAACAACATGTCCACAGATCCGCCATCCTTCCAATCTGCCCTCCTAGCAGGCGCCCTCGCCGGCACAACCGTCGATCTCTCCCTCTTCCCTCTCGACACCCTCAAGACCCGCCTTCAATCCTCAGCCGGCTTCTTTCCCTCGGGAGGATTCAGCGGCATTTATCGTGGTATCGGTTCCGCGCTCGTTGGTTCTGCGCCTGGCGCTGCGTTCTTCTTCTGCACGTATGAAAGCGTGAAGGGCCTTTTGGCTGATAAGGATAATACCTCTGCGCCGGGATGGAAAGCGCCTGTTACGCATATGGCTGCTGCTAGCGCAGGCGAGATTGCTGCTTGTGCTGTGCGTGTGCCGACCGAGGTTGTTAAGCAGCGTGCTCAGGCGGGACAGCATGGTGGTTCCTCGGCTGCTGCGCTGCGAGCTATTCTGTCGAGGTACTCGAGCCATGGGTTCGTTCCCATGTGGCGCGAGCTCTACCGTGGTTGGGGAATTACAGTCTTTCGTGAGGTGCCCTTCACTGTGATCCAATTCCCGCTATGGGAGGCTATGAAATCCTGGGGACGTCGCCGTCGTGGTGGTCGCGAGGTCACTGGTGCTGAGAGCGCTCTTTATGGAAGTATGGCTGGTGGATTCTCTGCGGCGCTTACTACGCCGCTTGACGTGCTCAAGACAAGAGTCATGTTGTCCAAAGAGAGAGTTTCTGTGTCGAGAATATTCAGCCAGATAATGCGCGAGGAGGGTAGTAAGGCATTCTTCGCTGGTCTGGCACCGCGAGTAACATGGATTTCTATAGGAGGTGCGATCTTCTTGGGAAGTTACCAATGGGCTATCAACACGATGAACGGTGTTGCATAGATAATATGGATAACAAAAAACGAAAAAAAACTGGTGGGCATTGTATGATATCAAGCATGGAGCAAGGCGTCAAGAGGTGGGCGGTCCAAAAGAGATAAAGGCTTAATTTCTCGCTAATGGTATATGCGCCTTGGTGGCATCTAACCTATGTACAAATCTATACACGGTAAAGGGACTCGCTAGAGACAAAAGTCTACCTTTTGGTATATAAAAAGGAGTGCATGAAACATGGAAAGGTACTGGACGGAGTGTCTTCGCGTTTGATATGCAATAGTGCAGGCTGCCTCGAATCAGACAGCTTGAGGTTGAGGTTGAGAAGGACCCTGGCCATTAGTGGTTGCCTCTTCCGTACCAGTGGCCTCTTGGGTTTCCTCAGACTCAGCTGGCTTAGGCTCCAGAGGAGGAGGGAATGGCCGGATTTCCTTTTTGCCGTTGGCCTTGTAATGAAGGACGATATCGTTACCTCCCTTCCAGAGGTGAGTACGGAGAGTGGCCAGGGTTGTCACAGGAGATAGCAGCTAAACAAGTGTCAACAAACATAATGCCATAGAAAGAGTGAAAAAGGGAGCGCTTACCTGGTCGTTGCAGTATAGTTCCAAATACTCTTCTGGCCTCATAGGGTTCTCCTCGGGTTCCTCAAGCGGGGGCTCGATACGTTCAGCAACGTAGGAGAGGATCTTTCTGACTCGCAACATGCGATTTGCGTTGAGCCTGTTATTTCCATCTGCCGAAGCAATGGCCGGGAGGCTGTCATCCACTGGATACAAGACGAATGAGACCTTGACCGGCTCCTTGAAAGGGAGGATGTTCTGAAGCAAAATATCACCAAGCCACATGGGCGCCTTCTGCTCAATAAGGTCTGCGTCCTTACCAACATCCTCAACAGTGCCTTGGTATAAGTTGGCACTGCCACCCGAAGTCTCCTCCTGGATCACGACTTTGGTTCCAGGCGGCAATTTTAGAACAGGTGTATCGCTGGGCAGACTGGGAACCACTCGGGTCTCGACTGGTTTGTCAGGGTTCTCGGTCAGTTGTCTATCGTACTCCTGATGGATCTTTTGAATGACACCAAAGAAGCTGTCATCAACCTCCTTTTCCTTCTCATGGACAGATGATGACTCAGACTCTTCAGCCTTTTCCTCGACAATAGCAGGCTTCTCCGTCGTGGCTTGAGAAGCTGACCGTGAGAGCTTCTTAGTACCAAATGTCATGCGGAACTTCTTCTTGCCAAATGGGGTGCTTGGTGATTTTGCATTGTCGGCCTTGTCCTTTTCCTTTTCCTTCTCTTTCTCTTTGTCACCATCTATAGACTTTTTCGAATCTGCGTTATCCTGTGTTGGTGTCGATACCATACTAGCTGCCTTGACTGCTGACTCAAGAAGTTGCAGGGGGCTTGTAAAGTAGTCCTCTCTCTCTGTTGAAGGACGGCTGACATGCGACGTTCTCTTCTCTATAGGAGTCATTGGGCTCGTTGCAGCGTTTTCGGGTACATCAGGCAAGCTGTTGGGACCTGACATGATACTAGGGCCAGGTGTCGCCAAACCAATGCCCAATCCTGGAGTATTGGGGTAGAGGTTGGGTTTCGGGGTGACTTGGTCTGCGTTATCCCAGTCTGGAATGGCGGATTTTGGTAATGATATCGACAATGGGGGAGCACCGGCAGTTCCTTCAGAGGTAACTTGTCTGGTTTCGATACCCTCGTTAAGCTTCTGACGATGCGCCTCATCTCTTCTGATTTCTTCATCGATGAGATCGGCAAAGAGATACCGAAGGATCCATTTTCCAAGACTGACTGCGAAGGAGTTAGTTCAACTCATTACAAGTGGTAATCATGCTTACTCCTCTGGTCTTCTCGAAACTCAACGGGTTCTGGCAATTCGAGCTCGTCCGCATATACTTCGGCGTCGAAACAGTTAAAGGGCTCCAGCACAACAGTGAGGTTTCCTGAACTGAGATCGATAGAACACCATGGAGCTACAGCTTCAACGGTGTTGACAAGATGTTCCACATCCTCTAAATGTTGTTTACCGAAGCTCTTTATAGGTTTGCACTGCCAAAGTTAGCGAAGGTCACCATAATATGATAAAACAACGGACCTTGATCAAATCCCATAACAACACATCGCCGGCAGTGTCCGACGTCAACACGCGCCTCCTATCGTTGAGTAGCCTATGCTTGAGCAACCCAAATTGACCTTCAATCGTTTCTTCGGCCACTGCGTGAATTGGTTTAATATCGGACTCTCCTGAATCCATGATAGCTTCTGATCCTTTCCGTGTTGCAGCATCTGTGATGGTGGTGGAATCGGGGTCCAGCCCAGATCGTGCAGGGAAGGAGGCAGCTGCAGAAACGCGCAAGATAGACTCAGCGGGGATTTCTTTCTTAGCAGTTCCGTTAACCGCTGGAGGAGAAGATTCGCGAGGTCTATTGGAGGCGTTTGATGTAGCTCTATGGTGTCGAACTGACTCGGGGAGCTTGATATTGGTATCGGTATCAACATCCTCCCATCGGTTAATCGAGGACCTGTTGGTTGCTGTCCAGATATGACCTCCGGCGGCAACAACCTTGCCCACTCCAATGTGTTCATGTGCAACAGCAAGACTGAGACCATCGTCCATGTCTTCCAGGCTGCCCCGCACATCTGTCTTAGCTACCAGACCGGAGCGATCAGAACTGTAGAAAACACCGAGTGTCGGGTCATCCGAGAAGAGCGACCAGACACTCTCATCGTGCATTGTAAATGTGTACATGCAGCGACCGTTCTTGATACTCCACATCTTTACCGTCTTGTCGGCACTGGCACTAAGAATTGTGTCACCAGCATCATCAATAAGAATGGCGCGAATATTGTCAACATGACCAACAAGTTTAGAGACCTTGTCGCCAGTTCGAGGATCATATAAGCGCACCGTCTTTTCTGGACCACCACTCGCCATGATGTTGCGCCCGACACGCAGGGCATATACAGAACCCTTCTCAGCAATTTCCTCGCCTTGAACATCTATCTCGAGTGTTTTACCGGCGCCATTGAGATCCCACAGGCAGATCTTACGGTCGAGGCCGCCCGAAGCGACCCAGTTTGCGCCCATATCCGGGGGCGGGGTTGTAACACATTTGACATAATCGGCATGCTCGCCTATCGTCTCGACGCGGGTATTATCCTCTTCGGAATGTGGTCGCCAGACTTTCACTGTAAGGTCGGATGAGCCAGAGACGAGGGCTGTGTTGTTCTGCGCAAGGGCAATGTCGTTGATCCAATGCATGTGGGCATGGGTTTGGGCGCGGAATTTGGTCGTGGACTTGGGCTTCTTGTCTTCGGGGGTCGAATCGGTAACGTCGCTACGGTTTTTGAGATCGAGGTTCAAGTCCCAAGCGCATACAATGCCGTCTCGTCCACCTGAGTACCTATGGCGAGATTTGTTAGTTCTGGACAGATAAACATCACAAGGGCCGATACGAGGGAGCTTGCTTACAGAATTGCATTATCATTATCGACGGCGAGGCCATTCACACCTAGACGATGGCCACCTTCGGAGGATTTGGCATTTTCGAGGACTATTACAGCATTAGCAGCTTATTCAGAAGTTCCAGAAGACGAATTGATATCTCGTATTACCATAGCTGATTCTTTGGCGCGCCTTCTTAGCCATGGTGTAATGTGAGAGAGTAAATGTCCAAGGTCAAGTCAAGCATGCGCCGCTGACGGGAAGAGACGTAGCACAAATGACGGCAAGGCACAGGAAACGGTGACCTCAGGAAGACAAAGGCAGACCGTGTGTTGGGATTGACAGGTACGGGTACGGTCCAGTGTCTCTACGTGATGTTGTGCGTACTGAGGCAGTGGTAGTGAAAGTTGGTAGGTCCTGTCGGGGTTCGGGTAAGTGGTGATGATTGCGGAATGCGGGATGGGGAAGCATAGAAAGTGGAGGGCCCGACCACTACTGGCTACCCGCTGTGCTGGGTTAATTAGTGGGCTGGGGTAGAAGAAACTGCCTACTACCGGTACCAAATTGAATAAGTTTAGGTAGGGCACAGAAATCAATAGCTTACGGTATAAAGTGACCATACTACTTCGTCGCTTGTGCTAATAATGTCAAGTTAGGTGAGGTGCAGTGAGCGATGGAACTGAACTGGTGGATGGCTGCAGCTTGACTGCCTTAGTACCAAGGTAACTATGGAGGCGTTCACAGATTCTCTCCAGGGGTTCAATCCTATTCCCAGCCTCTACTTCGGGGCCCGTTGGACAGTTGGATCGCTAACTGGAAGGATTGGAAGCCCTGGTCTGGTCAAAGAGGAGAAAAAGTCTCGTGAGCTCTGCTGAACTTGGAAGCTGGAGAAGAGGAAAACAAACCCCTGGACCCCTGTCAATCAATCACATCACACCCAAATACCCGGCCTTCTAACCCGTCAAACAGCGGGGTTGGGGGGTTAGCTAAAGGTCCAATTACGCATTTGATCCAAGCCCAGGGCAACTCTTAATTGATATTCATCCAATCCAATTGAGTCGCATTTCAAGCCCAGAGGCCAGTTCCTTTCCCCTCACCAACGAACTGCTTTCTTTGTTTACTCGTGGTTGTCGATCAGTTGGCTTCTTTTACAAGCAGTCCCTGTCACATCATCATATGTCTCAGATCTTGTGCAGATTGTCATCTACCCACATCCAAATACATGAGAGAGACTGGTTTGATTCCAGACAAGAACAATTCTTAACATAACAATGCGAGTGAATTGGAATCATTTGACTCATAACTAATAAATTGAGAAGCCGGTAAACTCCAGGTAACTCGTTGCTACAGAAAAAGCCCTTCCTCCATACTCCGTATTCCCAAATTCAAACCCGTGTTACTCCGACCGAATCGAATCATTCCCGTTACCCTCCCTTCTTGTTCCCTTGTAGACTGTTCCCTCACTGGCAGACGCAGCATCCGACTGAGCACCACCGCGACGACCTGAATCGGCTGGGCTTGTTTTCACACTGAGAGCAGTCGTCGTCGACCTTTGTGATATCTTCCTTTCTCCCAGCACAGTCCTCTCGGTAACATCTTGTGTTGCCGCGCAAGACGCGATGCCCGCAACGGTGCTCGATTGATGTTTTGGTGCACATTGTGACTGGTAGTAGTGGTTTTGAGTTTGAGAGTGTCGATAAAGCTCGTAGAGATTGGTTTGGTTGGACACCGATGGATGTGTGGAATCGCCAGTCGGGTACAATGCTATGAAGTTTTTGCCTTCTTTTTTGAGTTTTGAAGGGATGAAATGGACGAAAGGACAGTTACTGATTTGATGCGCGAGGATTATTGAAAGTTGGTGGTGGCGGTGGTGGTACGTCTCTCGGCTCTATGCCTGGTTCAAGCTGGATGTACTTCAAGTTGCTCGATCAGCCTTTTACTAAAAGGTGTACGATACAAAGTCTTTTGACAGTAAAAATGAGGACAATGTAAAAGTAAAGTTTTCCAAGTAAATAGAAAGAATCAATTGACCTCCAAGAGCCAAAAAGGGCATGACGCGGACTATGGCCCCAACGGGAAGAAGGGAGTGAAGCTCGTGACGCGGCTTCGGCCAATGGCTGTACTCAGGGTGTGGTAGATATTGCACTTGGGAAGCATGCCGAGACCTCCGGTTTGGATACGAGCTCTGTTTTTACTGATACGATTCTAGGCTAAATCATATGAGGAAGTTGAGGCTGTGGTCTGAAACTCGATTTGGGCAGTCGCTCGATTTCTCCAAGTGGCTCGCTGAGTGTTGGCCGATCAAACCATGTTGAACTTCGCATCAAGTCACAGATTCGGCTAAAACGCACCTGACACTGTCGATCTCTCAAATCAATCGACAGACGGGTACCTACACTTCAGTAAAACTGCCAACCTTATTTGTGTCGGCAGGTATCGATTTAATGCTAATCAGTCATCCCTGGCGACAGGTTGGTTGCTGATGGGCAACCTCTAGTAATGCAGGTGAAAGGAACGACCAAAAAGTGGAAATGAGAAAGGGCATACTAGTAACACTCTAAGGGTCAACCGGAATTTTATAGTTAGACATAACTCATCCTCAATAGATGATAGGTAGCAAATGTTTCACACGAAATTAGACACTTGAACGAAGCAATTGAAACGAAAAGGTCTGTCTATGATCCTGCCGTAGCTGGGTACATTCATTACATTTTGCAAAACCTAACGCCGTGCTTGAAGCCTTCCATTTACACCGACAGCCAATTTCACTGCCCACCACATTTACCTTTTCCATTAGGTGCTTAGGCCATTTACCTGGTAAACTTGTTACCCTGGTTTTGTCGTGGCTGGCTGCCGTATGCCCTACGGCCCTGCTGCTTCTTGTCTCTGCTCATACTGGCGCCGAGAGTGATATCAACACGAGGAGGCACCGAGAAACCGAAGCTCTTGGCGACCTTGGCAAGATCCAACTTGTTAATGTCAAAGACGCTGCGCAACGAGTGCGAAGCGTAGGCGTGTAGGTAGCTGCGGTAACCGTCCTTGGCGCTCTTGTTCAGGTAGTAGTTCTGGGTGATGAGCTTCTCAAGTTGAGACTGAACGTTGGTGATCTTGTTGGCGGGGAATTCAAACTCGGTGACGGGGACACGAGCGGCCTTGAGATGCGACAAGAAACCGACCTCGTTGGGCTGAAGGAACATGAGTGATCGGCCCTTGTTGTTGCTGCCTCGAGCGGTTCGACCGACACGGTGAATGTAGTCACGAGGGTCATCCGGAGGGTCGAACTGGACAATCCAATCAACAGAAGGAATCTATCTTCAAGTTAGTAAAGTATTTATAGAGTAATTCGGGTATAACACGTACATCAAGACCACGAGCGGCAACATCAGTGCAGATCAGGGTACCCTGCTTAGCGTTACAGAATTCGAAGAAGGTGTTGGTTCGCTTCTGCTGCTTCTGCTTGCCGTGGAGGTCAAGGACAGGAAGGTCGATGTAGTTGAGGAGTTCGGCATGGTATTTCACACAAGCGCAGCTACTGAAGAAGACAATGATCTTCTTCTTAAGGTTGCGCTTGAGGAAAGAGAAGAGTAGAAGGAATCGCTTGTCGGCGTCGCAAAGAACGTAGCCCTGCTCGAGACCCTCCACAGTACTGTACTGCTTCTCCTCGTCAACGTTGATGTATAGGGGACCAGGTCGCAGCGAGATACGAGCAAGATCCTCGACCTTGGTTGTTTGAGTGGCGGAGAAGAGCATAGTCTGTCGGTCCTCCTTGGGAAGGACCTTGATGATCTGTCGCATTTCATCTTCGAAACCAATCTCGAGAATTCGATCGGCCTCATCGATAACAAGAGACTTGAGGTTCTTGAAAACGAAAGGTGTGTTTTGAAGATGATCGAGGAGTCGACCAGGGGTGGCGATAAGCAAGTTAACACCCTTGGCGAGCTTTTCGGCCTCAGCGCGACGGTTTGCGCCTCCAATGACGATACCGTATGTTTGAGAGTGGTGTGCCATGAGCTCACGGGCAACGCCAAAGATCTGTAGGGCCAACTCGCGTGTGGGAGAAACAACAATGACACCGGTACCGTTGCGAGGCTTGAAGCGCAGAGAGCTCAACATCTCGATAACAGGAATCAAAAAGGCCAAAGTCTTTCCGGAACCAGTCTTGGCAGCACCGAGAACATCGCGACCAGCCAGGGAAGGGGGAATACCTCTCCTCTGGATCTCAGTCATCTTGGTGAACTTCATCTCCTTGATGGCCTTCATGGTCTTCTCGGAAAGGTTGAGCTCCTCGAATGATTGCGCCTCAGCACCAGCAACCGGGGGTAATGTGAGCTTTCCACCGTCAGGCAGATCTGTGTTGTCCTCGGCCTTGTCCTCCTCCTCCCCCTCCTCATCGTCAGACTTTGAGGCCTTGGCGTCCTCATCGGCTTCGTCGCTCTCGTCCTCGACCTCCTTCAAAGCCTCTTCCTCGTCGGAAGAATCGACCTCGGGCTCATCGCGGGGCTCGGGTTCGGCGCGCTTGACTTTCTTTGACTTTTTGTCGGAAATGGAAGAAGACTTCTTTCCTTTTGAAGGCTTGACACCATTGGCGTCCTTAAACTTGCGCTTCTTGCTGCCGGCGAAATCCATTTTGTTTTGCGCTTGAGATAGGTATCCTGAATAACTGATCGTCTTAGCAGCGTCTCGAATCGAGAACTTTTTTTCAGCGATAAGGAAAAGTCTTGGACGATAACGGTGACTGGTTTTTCCGTGCCCGACCCGACTCAACTCAGCTGTCGACTTTGTAGTAGGAATTCCCCGCAGTGGAGCAGCGGCAAATGTTGCTGTAAGCTTGCTATTATAGGACTAGTCTAATGTATGTCTATATCTCCCAAAAGAGCTCATCAAATGGGTAGTATTTTGAGTTGAATTGATCGAGATGCAGGTTGGTACAGAGTGTGGTTTATAGCTTTATTGCTTTCTTATAATATTGCAAAATGAGACAAGTCTGACTCACAACAGACAGAAAGACCTAGCCCTTCTATTAGGTTCACACAAAACTTAGTGAGCTTATGGGGAAAACTGAAGGTCGAGATCAGGCACAAAATTCGATAAATTCCAGCGTAAAGTTTTGCATCGCAAATGGAGACTGAAATATTCGCTCAGGGTTTTCTGTGATGTACTTAGTGGAGGATTGTCACTCAAGTTCCCAATGCGGCTTAGCCTTTAGTCACGCTACACTGCAGGTACTGTAGGCACTGTACCTTCGCGCTCGGGTCGTCCTTCATTTCTATGAACCTCCACTGATTCTTCCAAATCAGATTCCTCCCTCCTCAATCTCATCTGCGCCTTCGAGACATTACCCCTTTCGTGGCTAGAGACTCTGTATCTCACTACCGTCGCGAGCGCATCAGCCTTCTTACGCGACCCGAGACATTTATTGGCGATCTGTCAATATCCTTTCTTTCTTCATCTGTATTGACCTTGTCATCGCAAATTCTTGATTTCCATTTGGACCTCGAAACTTGACCGGCAGATCCGTCGAGTCATCGCGAAGCCTACGTCAGAAAAGCTTATCTTATCCGTCGCTTTTGGTACAAATTGCCATCTCCTGGCTAAGCTAGACTTTATTTTTTTCTTGAATCATCAAGTCCACCATTTTCTGGTATACCCCCACGGCAAAAACTAGTTTCTGTTGTAACCCACTAGCAACATGACGGACTCTCGCCCTGATATCCAGAGCATTCTGGCTGCGCTCGGTAAGTTGAAAGAACTAACAGATTTCAGGCCATTCGCGCTTACTGACTTGTCTGTAGCATCCCAGCGGCCCCCGACAGGAACACCTACCCAAACACCACCTGGCGCCCCCAGTCAGGCATACCCTCCCCCGCCCGCGTCTACGCAGCCCGCGGCCGCATACCAGCAACCGCCTATGAACCCCGGCGGCTATGGCGCACCTGGCTACAATGGCCTTCCTGCACCATCTTCTAGCGGAAACCTCGACTTGAGCTCGATTCGGCCTGTTAACTCAGGCACATTGAGTATTACCGATGCGATCGCTCAAGCCAAGGCTTACGCCGCTGAGAAGGGAGTGACATCTTACGACCGCCCCTTGGTTTATGCCTCCGAAAACCGAGGACCCGATCGAGGATACAACCGCTCACGATCGCGATCACCTGCTCGCGATGAGTTTCGTGATGGTGTGAACCCCTACAGAGATGAACGACGCGGTGGTGACCGTGGCGCACATAGTCGAGGCTATGACCGGGATCGTTCTTACTCGCCCGGTCCCCGTGGCCGCAACTTCTCCCCCCGGGAAGGAAACGGACGGGAGAGGTCCCCATTGAGAGGGGGAGATGATAATTCCGAAACTATTCAAATTGAGTCGAGCCTCGTAGGCCTCATTATTGGCAGACAAGGAGAGAATCTCCGTCGCATAGAGGCAGACTCTAACTGCCGTGTCCAATTTTTGGCCCCGACCGATGGTGGACCGGGTCCTTATAGACAGTGCAAAATCTCTGGGCCAAGACACCGCCGCGGTGAAGTGAAGGATGCGATCAACCGTATCATAGAGGATAGTGGCATGGGCGCCCTGAACCGCCCCGAGAAGCCTCGTGATCCTAACAAGGGCGGCGCAACCGCTCTACGTGAAGGAGAAGACCACATGCAAATTATGGTCCCTGATAGGACAGTTGGTTTGATTATTGGACGTGGTGGAGAAACTATTCGTGACCTTCAAGAGCGCTCCGGCTGTCACATCAATATTGTTGGTGAATCCAAGAGCGTGAATGGATTACGACCTGTCAACCTCATTGGTACCCGCGAGGCTGCTGCCCGTGCCAAGGATTTCATTATGGAAATCGTTGACAGTGATAGTCGAGGCGATGCGCCCCCGCCTGTCAAGAAACTTGGTGGTGGAGGATCCGCACCTCCTGCTCGCCATGATGGCCCCCAGCAAAGGGATATGGGCGGTTCAGGTGGTCCTGACAAGATCAACGACGCTGTCTATGTGCCCTCGGATGCGGTAGGTATGATCATTGGCAAAGGCGGCGAGACGATCCGTGAGATGCAGAACACTACTGGGTGTAAGATTAATGTCGCCCAATCTTCTGGACCTGGTGAGACTCAGAGGGAGATTGCCTTGATCGGCTCTCGCGATAGCATTGCCCGAGCCAAGCAGGCAATCGATGAGAAGGTGGATGCAGTGGTAAGTTCTATCCTGTCATGATGACCTTTGTTCAGCAGCTAATATTTGTAGCGACAGAAAGGAAGTGGCCCACGAGGCGGAGGCGGAGGCGGAGGCGGCGGTGGCCGTGGACACCAGGATCTTGACAGACCCAGCTACTCTCAACAGCAAACACCCAGTGCCCCTACTAACCAGCCTCCTCAACAGGCTCCAGCCGACGGATCGGACCCATATGCCCAGTGTAAGTCTTTGATGAAGTCCCTTGGGCCTCGACCAACACTAACTGAAACAGACGGTGGCTACCAAAACTACGTTGCGTTGTGGTACCAGTCTTTGGTATTCCAGCAACAGCAAGGTGGTCAAGGTGCCCCCCCTGCCGGCGCTCCTGCACCAGGGGCATAGTGATGTCTCGTCTGCTCGCGCGTGCTTGGGTGACCTTGATCGAGCTCTTCTTCGCAATTGCCGCGGAGTGAGGGCACCATCTGTGGTTCGATTGACACCATGCCAATGCCTTTGACACTCTTGACACCTCATGGCCCGTTGATACGACCCACGACTGTACATCATACGTTTTCGTTTCCTTTTTCCTGAGAACTACTTGGACTCAACTTCTTTGATGACGTATATCATTTGACTCAACCGTCTTTGACGACATTAATACTGGGATGCATAGCAAGTGCAACGTCCATGACCGTACTGCTTCACCATCATCCGATCTTATCTAGGCGCTATTTCGACTCGGTGCTGAATGCTTCTCGAACACAGTCTGCAGGCCTCGTACTTGTTGGCTTTCTCACAATCATGGTGCTTGTGGTTTGACGGCTCACGACTAACGCAGTGATGACATGTGCGATCTTTGATGCCTGCTCATCCATGGGTCTGACGTTCATCCTGAAACCTGCAACCTGCAACCTGTCGTGATGCGGTTGAGTTGTGAATTGGTCACTTGAATCTCTTGAAAGTTATCCCTCAGCCCGAACTAGACAGTAGTGTCTTGCTGGACGTGAGCCCGATCGTACTTATACTCTTTTCCAGCCAGACCTGTGCGTTCTTGGATGAAATCGATTGTGTCGTGCAAGTGGTTTCATTGTATCTGCATGTGTGTTGCGTGCCATGCGCATGGCTGACTACGTTGGCGGGTTACGCTTTCATCTACGATTTCTTTGAGTCTGGCTTCAACTCCGGACTGTTTCTCATCATTGCATGCATGTCATGAGGAGAGGGAAATGTATCTTCTTAGGACGGGGGATTGGAGAAATGGAGTTGGGGGTTTAGTTGCATTGTATTACCACCGTAACATATTGTTAGCCTTTTACAGCCGTGGGATTCCACGAGTTTTTAATAATGTGCCTTTTTATTTGAAGTGAAACGCTTGAAAGAAATGCGTTTAGAAACGATGATTCGGCAGTCATCACACCAGTGGCCTTCCTCTAAACCTGAGATCCGAGTATTGGCCATATGATAATCCTGCTCCGCAATCCGTTAGATGCCTCAGTAGTAGGCAGGGCTCATAATGACAGCACGAGCAAGATCTCATTGAAAGTCCAGGATTGTCTTCAGCCTCTTTCACGAGCCGCAGTTGGACCTTGGTTCAAATTAAGGGTTTCCCTTGGTCTTTCCCTAGGTAGGGACATTTCGTATTGATGTTGCATGTAACTTCCCCCGCAGTTCTCAAGATAGAAAAGTACTAATGGAAGGTGACACCTGATATGGCCGTGCAATATTAAAGATTCAGATAGTGTGCTGCCAGTGTGTGTTGTTGGATCAAAGAGTTACTGGACCAGAACTCGAATCGTCCTCGTTTGTTAACAGGAGTTTCTCATATATCGATAACTTTATTTCTGGCCTGACTTGATTGATAATTACCTGCCTACCTCCAAGGCAGAGTAGAAAATTCGATACCTACCAAGTTAGGTATGTCAGAATGCCTTCGTTTCGCTGCCTTATGTGCCTGCCCATCTACTAAGATAGAATAAATATCCTAAGATATGATCTAAGAAATGATCAGATTGCCCACATATTTCGTCTCTTATTATATCTGAGTGGATACTTGCCTACATAATGAGGCAGGAAGTTATCAAGGTCAAGGTCGAGGTAGGAGCCCTTTGCCTCAATGACATTCTTTCCTTGTTCAAAACCGAGTGCCTCCTCTTCATCCATGGCCGCCTGAATTTCTTTCTTTCTTTCTCACAACATACCCATAACATATCAACACCAACACTCTTTTTCGACATTCTAAAAATCATCGCACTCGTGTTTATCGCCTTCAACATGTCTCGTCGATCACCTGGACAGCAGCCGCTTGCCTGGTACCGGGACTCATATCCAGATGTCGAACTACAAGACCGTCGCGATTCTGAAGCGGACGAAGAGAGAATATACGAGCTCGAATACAGGACACACCGAGTCACGCGCTTCCAATGCTGCCGCTGCGACGTATGCAATAGCGTCTTGGAGACAACACGTACCCGCGAATAGGATTCCAAAGAAAATTGCTTTGTCTCAGATAAACGTTGCTACAACTGCACGTTCAGACTCTCATGGCAACTAGCAACACTCGATGACAAGTCTCTACAAGAAATATACGCTAGAACGTATGACAACTATGATGCGAAGCTGGAGAAAAGGACACTGGCTACGGGCCGTCGACACTACTTCCAACTGGATTCACTCGCCATCCGTATTAACTCTCGCCTGGTTTTGCCTATGTCTGCGGCTGGTCTATACCATATACAAGACCTGCAAGCCGAGAGAAGAAGGACGCACGAACCGCAAATAGTTACTGGCCCCGTGGGAATTGACCCATTGATGATCCCAAACACTGGGCCGCCAAGCATCTATAATGGGGAGTATTGGGCTAACGCGCAATCATTTCTCCGGATACTTCAAAGACGGTCACACGACCGTTCGGAAACCAACGCAGAAGTCTGGCTCGCTAGGATGATGGCGAGGAGAAGGATGAAGATGATGATGATGTAGTGTTTAGGAAGCAGACAATTACTGCAGCAATACAGCGTACTGATATTCCCGATAACCAAGATTCTTCTGTGTGCAGTGCGGTAAGGTGTTTATGTTGTTTAGATCATCGGGTGGTTTTTCACGATTTCCAAATTCTAACTATTTCTTTCCCTCGCCTCTGTGTCATAGAAGGTAGGGTCCAGAGAAACAACCAGGTTCTCACACAACACAAAAGCACTTCTGCACAACAAGAAATCACTACGAAGACCAAGCTGTCAGTTGTTAACTTGCTCAGCTTCTCATACGCCCTCATCCCTGTTGCTGATATAGATTCTACAACGACGCAGAAGCCTGCAGGCATGCCACACTCCGCTCTTCCAACTGCCTCTGTTGGCAGTGCCCTTAGCTATTTAGACTATATTCTTAGGTTATTCTTTATCTTAGACCATACTCTTAATTGAGTATTTGCATTTGTATCCTAAAGCTTAGGTAGGGGTCAATCTTCTGGTCACCAAGGCGACGAAGATGCCATCGCCTCGCTAGATTTTGAGAAATTATGCCTTGCCAAGACGGTTCCATACTATAACACACATCGCCTTTCTGGATATGCCCACACACCTCGCCCAATCACTGAGATCGGTTTATCTTGGTTCATTACTTGCGATTTGTTCGAAGATCCTCTACCTCCCCTTGGCAATCGTGCACACCTACTATTCCACAAGATAAAGACCTTCCAGCAGATTGTCGAAAAGCGGAAGGAGTATTAGGACTACCGAAGAGACAGGAGGAGTAAAGGACGGTTATCGCGCGTTTAAGTTCAGTGACATGCTGGTTATTGAAGCGCCTATATTACCTATAAATGTGCTGATCCTGGATCCGACGGAACCTCCTCTTGGACTTGACATAGCTTGGGTAGCAGCCGACCAGTTGATAGGAGGTCTGCTGACCTCAAATGAAAGATACTCGGCTAGTTGCGGTTGGGCTTTTGGTTTATAGACAATGTGCGGTGTTTTGACTTGCAGAGATACTACCTTGCCAGGTCTTGTTAAAACTCTACCTAGTTGTGTGACTGACTTACTGATTTCGTCCCTGATGCTTTGAGTGACACTTAGGGTCCTGCTTGAGCATGCCTTGCCAATCTCGATGTCGACGGGTCCTATTCTGCTGAGGCCTTCTAAAAGGAGCAAACCCGTCGGACAAGTCTTGAAGAGGCTCGTTGTGATGAACCGCTAGACCTCAGAAGTCTACTCTGTTACTCACTGCTGTGCCACTGACACTAGGCACGAGAGAGTTCCAAATACAGTGTAACTAGATATCAACAAGGTCTCTGGATGAAACCGACGGACTCTCAGCCCAGAAGCATAAAAACTGGCGAGAGAAGCGTGGGAGAAGCTTCAACTACGCTCGTAGAGCGTTTGTTTCGTGCCTGAGGTGACGCCGCAGGGACAATTAGCAGCAAAGCTACGACCAGCGGGTTTCATCAAGGTCCGGTGGATGTCTCGAGAATTCCAGTGTCGACGACGGATTTAACAAGTTTCGGAGTTTGGGCTTGTTAGTACTGCCCGACTTGACTTGACTAATGTTAGCTTGCAGTAGTAGCATGTCATGTCATGTCAGGTACCGCGGGTTAGATGTCATAGTGGTGCGAAGCTACTTTTGGTATGCCAATAGTTGGTTAACGGATCTCTGTAACGACAATAGTTAGTAAACTAGGAATGTTGATAAGTGCAGCATCGATGATAAGCTTGCAGTAGTAGTGACGATCTCGTACCAGAAAAGTAGTAATCCTACCTCTTTTATGAAACTCCCTACCCAGTTTGGGGAAAGAGGGCGAGGCGCGAAAGGCTGTTGCCATGAAACGTCGTGTAGCGTTGAAGAGACCCGAGGAGATGGTAGAATCTTGGTGTTTGCCAAGAAAAGCCTGCCATGACCAAGAAGCAGGATCGTCGTACGTGTTGGATTGATGGATGATTGCTTTAGTGTCTTGTTGCGCTTCAAAGGCGTCAGTCTCTCGGGAGCGCGGCGCTGAAGAGCGGGATACCGATGACATGGACAGCCAAGCCTCCTCAAAGTTGCCCCTGGCTTGTTTTCTCTAACACGACACACATCTTAATGAATTTACCACCTTTTTAGAATTACAAATAAATGTTTTGATCACAAGTGGTGGTTTTGTTATGAAGTCAGTGGCAGAAGCAAGGAAACAAGACGGAAGCTCCGAAGTGTTTCTAGAACAAAGTCTAGAACAAGCGAGAGAAGAATTCCTCAGCCCGAAACTTGAGGTCTAGAACTTTTTCAGACATTTGGATTACTATGTATGGATCACCCTACGGCGGTGGTGGCAGTGGCAGTGAAGCTGAACGGCTTCAAGGCTCTCTCACTAGTCCCAGTCTCTAGTGGCAAAAGTCTGTTGTGTGGAAAGCTTATTGCCACAAAAGCCAAGGGGTAAGTAACTTAACTGGGGAAGTAAGTTGGCTAGTTTGCTGCAGAAAGATGATGATGGTACTGGCATTTGCAATTTCCACTCGGGAGATACGTGGCCAAGCCTACAAGTAGTTAAATAGACTAAGTAGCTGGAAGCTCAAGATACCGATGGAGGCGCGCTAAGATCGCTGTGAATCCGTTTCGGGAACATTACATGTTTGACTGCACTTTTTGTCTTATTTCCTTTTCTTATTTTGTACTGGTGACGTTTGAAAAGACATGGAGGAAGGAGTAATTAAAGTTGCCCGTCCATCCGCCTTATTTGCATATGACCGATATCAGTCGGTGTAAGCCGTATCACGTACTTCTCTCTTGTGCTGCTATATTAATATCCCATCTCTCCCTTACATTTTCTCACTGATATTCAATACTTAGCATGTTTAATTCTGAATCCGAAGCAACAGATACTTTACTTTCTTCCTTTGGCTGCAGTCCTTCTCATCCTACTGATGCCTTATCAATTGATATAACTCGACCAACACACCAACAACACACGAAAGAAAAAGATATTTGTTCTTTTCAAGAACTGCCGAAACTTGCCTCGTTCTTTGCCTTTCCCCTCACTCGGTTGATCGTCATCTGCATCACGCTCGGACGTTGCATTGTGGCTTACTCCAGTACGGCTGTTGTCTCGCTTCTGACGTTACAAAGCGTCGCTTGATCAAGACACCAATTCGGTTCTCGGCATTTCATCCTACTGAGACACCGCGAGAATTCCATTACAAGAGTCAAACAACATTGAAAGTTATTTCTCAGTACGTTCATACCACAATATCTCGGGTTTCTTATCTTTGCTGACCATCAACCACTAGTTCCCAAACTCAATTCCTGACGTTTCGTCACTCATTGATCGTCGAGATACAACCAAACTTTTCTTCTATACAACAGAATGTGTCGAATGATAATATTCAGAGGGCACTGCACAGGCTGTGGTTCACATCAGACTTGGGTTGACCTGACACAAGAGCTAAACTGTCTCGATGCTAAAAACATGGGATGGTTTGGTGGATGTCAGCGTGGTATCCTTGTGGAAGAGCACAGCTTCAACCAAGAATGCTCTGTATGCCGCGAAGAGGATGAGGGTGTCGGTCTGGATGACAGCCATTTGATGCTATTCCAGCAGGCCACTTATACCCAGAGTAGCCTGGGTAAAAGAAGTCCCACCAATGACGAGGGTTTAAGTTCGAGTTCAGGCGGTAATCACAAGAGACAGAGGATTTGAGTTTGCATTATGCACGATATAGGGCGTTATTTTGGGACTTGTACATTATTAACTATATCTCCGGGTTATCGGCGTTATGCTTTCTTTATCAACATCATCATCGCCCATGGGCGCGAACTATTGGGCAGAAACGGTAATTGTTAGGGCTATTGGGTTCACGGATAAAGGGTGTTTATTGGTTTCAGGGAACTGAGAAATGGAGGTAATATATGTGTATTTGCTCTATCTATATGCAAGATTATCAAATCTATAGAATCTATAGAGAACCAACACTTGCTACTTTACACAACCTTCCCTTCCCAGGTCTCTCGAACAATCTTCCAGTATCTGTCTGCATCAACTCTAACGTGAGCAACATGGGTGCCTCCTTTGAACAATTCTGTTCGCACATTTGCACCATTGGCTTTTACCTCTAGTGCATGAGACTCAATGTCCTCGAAACTGACTGGTAGATCTGCATCACCGTATAGATATGCTCTCATCGTCTCTCGACTTATCCTCTGCGAGGTGTTGAGTGCCTTGGCATTAGGCCTGTGCGGTATCCCCCCAAGGATCAACATACAGTACACCCAACCAACGGCCATAATCGCACAGATAAGAGGTGACATAAACCGCGGAAAGTTCAAGGAAATCACATGGTGATCGCGTTTCCAGTGGAAGTATCCCGGGCACGAATCCATTACAACTGCATGTTGAGGAACTGGCTTGTCTCCGAGTGCAGACTCCCACAACTCCCACAAGGTAACGGCAGAACCGACTCCGCCATTAGAGAAGATGTGGAGTAGAAATTGAGGCTTGGTACCCTCTGAACTGGAAAGAGATGTAAGAATTGGTAGGGCAGCTTTGAACAGAGGGCGACGGCGTTTGAGTTCCAAGAAGAGCATGGGAGAAGATCGGAAGAGCAATATAGCAGATGCTGGATAGATAGCGCGGTATTCGGAAATGTACTTTGCTATGTGAATTTCGCGAGCATTTGACCATGATAGAATGATGATAAGAGAAGGATCGTCAGAATTGGTAGCTGATGCTGACTCTTTTGGGCAGTAACACAACACGAACGGGCTGCCGAGCTCCTCCATAAAGGCCAAGGGTGATTCTTTGACGGTAAACATAATGAGTAGTCAGTTCTTACAGAAACATTCTGAGTCTATTTTCGTAAGAGGATGACACGAAGCTATTTATACGAAAACGACACGCTGAGATTACATTTCCCTTGAATATTGGGGGCCGTCGGATGCATTGAATTGACGGTCCGAGGCTCCGCTGGAAACGGAACCGGACTGAGGAAACGGAGCAAACAACAACGTCGCACTCAGCGACTTCTTCCTAATGATCGCCAAGAAATTAATTGATGACTACATAAACTCGCAAAATCCTACTCTAATAGTACCACCCTTCCGTGACAAACAAAGCTATATTATTATACCTCCAAATCTCTGATAGCGAGAATCTGCTCTTCTATAAAGTCGTGTACATTCATCGCTTCATTCTCCGCCTTGATCTCATCAACTCTCTTCTTGAAGCTATTATCAGAAAGAACTCGCTCAACACCATCTCTAACAAGCTCAGGGGTGGGCTGTCCTGTTCGTAAGTTAACAGCGACGCCGCTCCATTCTCCACGCATAGCAATCTCGGGCTTATCTTCGGTCTCGCCTGCGAGAACTAGAGGAACCCCGTTTGTTATGCCGTGAAGGAAACCACCGTAACCAGCGTTCATGACAAACACAGAAGCGTGAGGCAGGAGAACATCATATGGAAGATAATCGATGACACGGGTGTTGGAGGGGATGACCATGTCCTTGGGAAGAGCAGCACCCTTTCGGCCAAGAATGGCTATGACGAGGAGATCGTCTCGACCAGACAGAGCCTCAATGGTAGGAACGATGAGGTTGGAAGCATCTTGCGCAATCGTGCCCTGAGTTACGGCGACAATGCGATGGTCTCCACGTCTCACATCATCCCACCAAACAGGATAAACAAAGTCGCTAGGGGTGGGCTTTGGTGTTAAGCAACCAGAAAACTTGACATTTGAGGGCATATCGGTCCGGTTATACTCGAGACTGGGAGGACACAACTGGAGAGTCAAGTCGTGTATGAGTACCCAGTGATGGAAAGGGACTTGGGGCTCGAGAATCTCGGTAGCCCCAAGCTCTTTCAAAACTTCCTCCTGATGGGCAATGACCTCGGCAAAGGGACCGCCAACCATCATCTGGTTCATGAACTGGTTCCTTGCCCGGCCAGAGTCGGTCGAATCGGGAGGAAGACCAGGGCCGAAAGGAGCAGTGTCAATACTCGTAGCCATGTAAGGTATGGGATTCAAATTGATCACCTTGGGACGGGTAGTGTAGCCCTTGGGAAGAGGTGCACCAAGGGAAATGGGGTTGGCGCCCATGAAGCATGTCTCAGGCATGAGGATCACCTCACGCTCTGGGTTTTCGGCGCGAATATCCTCTAGGACTCTCTTGAGTATTTCCCAGCGATAGGGAGTCTCGCCAGTAAAGACATGTCTGATATCGTACAGTAGCCGAGGAAGGCCGGCAGGGATGCCCTCACGCTCTGCCATGAACTTGGGATTGAAAATCGATCTGACGCTAACATGTTTGGCGCCGATCTTTGTGATAGCGGTTTCGAACTGATCACCTCCGATGAAAGTGATTTCGTAACCACGACGGATAAGATCCTCTGCGATGCGGATCAAAGGGTATGTGTGGCCGTCTACAGGAGTGGCTCCGATAACAAGATGAGGTTTCTCGGTGTTAGCTGTTTGACCAGCTACTGGTTCAGCTGTATTAGACGGGAGGATTGGCATGACTGTGATGCTAATAAGAGATATCGGTGTTGGGATAAGAAGAGAGCGTCTGTGATCAGCGGTAGAGAGAAGAAGATGGAAGAAGTCTGGTAAGAACCAACTGGGAAGTGAGAACAAAATAACTACTTTTATATTTTAGAGCCATCCTAGGTCTCCATACTCATTTTGTGTCATAGTACAAGATAGCCTGCTACTACTAGTAGGCGATGTAAACTCCACCATCTGGAAACCCACCTTAAGCAGATGCGTAAGCTGGCCAAGATACTGTAAGACGAACTTGAACCCACGATAGGCAAGCCGGGAACAAGCATGCCAGGATTTCAGGATTGTAATTCATCGTTGGGCTCCTTTCTGGGCCAATCAACGTCACCACGATGTTAAGCTGAAAAGGGTCAAATGTAGCGCTGGTGATGAATCGTCATCGCCACTTGTCAGCCCTACCAGGATGCAGCAAGATGCTGACAATGTAAGAACCCCTGACCCAGTCGTCGCTTTTCTGCGTTTTCGTAGCCTATGAGAAAGCGTAAAATCCGAAGATAAGGGGTGGATGACCAGATTTTTCGCTCCCGTTCTGGAAAAAGGGTCTTTGTGTTTGGATCATGAGGTGTAGAGTTTGGAGTCGTATAGATAAGCCATCCGGGCTATGTAGAACTCGAAGAACCAGTGTTCATTCCACAAAGTATTTGGGTCGTTCTGCAAGGCTGAAAGAGGAGTTTGGCTCGTGTAACTTTCTGGAATTAGTTAGTTAGTTGGCTGTTGTTCTCGGCAACGCCACTTGGTTTGAAAGACACTAGCTAGACATTTGACAACCTGACAACCCGCGGGATACTGGCTAGTGATTTTGTCATGAATAACCACTGTTCTTTGTGGAAAACCACTTTTCAAAAAGGGATCCGAGTTGTTGTGTAAGTTTTTAAGCGCTGGGGATATAAGCTACAGGACGTCTGTCCGTTTGCTTGACAAATCGATGCCGAAGCCGCTAAGAGAGTTGACAAAAAGCTGGGACATTGATGTTGGCAGACATACAAAAGCCATGTGTTTGAGGTTTTGTTTTGTGAATTAAGAATAAATCAAAAGAATGGCTTACCAGACGTCAGAGTTGAGGAAGAGAATGTCGAGGTCATTTGGAACCGAGATGTCGAAAGATCAGAATGTACTGGAATGTCTTATCTTCTCACATATTCTGACCCTTAGGTGAGATATAGTTTCTTTTGGATATGCCTATCAAGAGTTGTTGCGGTCGTGACACAGATCCAGGGGTTCTTTGCATGCCCAACTCATGTCTCTCGCTTCGGTAACTTGCATCAGTGCCAGAACACAACAACGAACATCGGCTATATGCGACCTTGGTCTCTAGCAATGTGTAAGAGACTGTAACTCACTGTTGGAATTATCGCTAGTCTTGTTTAGCGTGGTAGTTACCTCATGAGGCCCGAGTAGCACCTTCCTCGCAACATCGGGCTTAGGCAGGCACCTTCCCACCTGCAAGAAAGGCACCCTCAAGGCACTCCCAAGGCACTGCCGGAGAACCGAAGGCTGCCGCTTATTATAACCATTTTAATTTCGAAGCCTTCATTCTGAAACATCTCCTCCTTTTATCCAAGGCATCTTCAACCTCTGCCTAAAATATCCCCTGACCCTCCTTTTTCTTCAATCACCTGCCTTCTTTCACCTACACATCACCAACATGGGGCCGCTCTATCTGATCTCCGTCCTCATAGCTAGCGTCCTATGTCCTGTGCTTTCTGCTGTTGTGAGTAGTGAAGTAGGGAAGGGAAACTGGGATCTGTCGACTTCGTTGAATGGATTCTCCTTCGAACGAGCCAGAGCTCTCTCCGTCACCAAGTCCCCCAACCGAACCGTCGTCTATGTGTCGCGACTGAAGAAGCTCAAAGCTAAGGATTATGCCTACCCGAGGACCTCGCTCTCCCTTCTCACACGACTTGACCAGCCACATGAAAAGGGCACTCCTCATCAGAATGCCACCGCCGTTGGCGCTTTCTCAACTACCTATGCAATTCAATGCACTTGGGACCAGACTCCAGTTTGGCTGATCTTTGACACTGGAAGCTCAGATACGTGGGCCGCCAAGACCGGTTTCAGGTGCGAAAACAGCGTGGGTGACAAACGCAATCAAGCTGCGTGCAATTTTGGCCAACCTCATATCCAAGGCTTTCTTCAGGACATCTCTGAAGTGTACTTCCATCGACGCTATGGATCCGGCGAAGATGTGGCAGGCCCCATGGGCACTTCTGATATCGCATGCGGAGGTGTGTCAGTTTCGGGGCAGCAAGTCGGATTAGCTAGCAGAGCATACTGGCACGGTGACAACATTACTGTTGGTGTTCTTGGGCTTGCCTACCCATCACTCACAAGCGCCTATATTGGCGATCCAAACGATCCGGTCGATGAAGATGAGTGGAACAATTATTCTTATACTCCATGGTTGACCAGCGCCATCTTGCAAGGATTGATCGACCCTGTTTTCAGTGTCACTATCGATAGAAACACCAGCGACGGTGTACTGGCATGGGGCGGTCTTCCTCCCATTCACTGGCATCCCAAATCCTCTGCATCCACAGACCTCATAATTGTAAGTCGGCTTGACCTTGCAAAGGCTTTCTCTCCTTTGGAAATGCTGACAGGTCGGCAGGCAAAACTTGTTGAACGAGAAGTCACTGCTTGGAAGCCTTCTTTTTATACCATAATTCCAGATGGCTTCCGATGGGGAAGTACTATGGACACGAGAAAATATCCCTACATCGTTGATACAGGCACTACAATGATGCTTCTTCCTCCTCGTTAGTCAAGCCTTGTGGCGTATTCAAGTGGGTTTTGGCTGACCGCATTTTGAAGCACTGGCTGAAGCCATCGCAAGATCGTTTGACCCTCCTGCTACTTACATGGTCCAATGGGGAGGCTACTTCGTCGACTGCAAAGCTATCCCTCCTCGATTCGCAGTCATTATTTCAGGCGTTCACTTCTGGATTAATCCAGCCGACATGATCTACCAAGAGCTTACCGATCCAACCAAAGAAAAGTGTGCTTTGGCTATTTCTACTGGTAGATCTGGACCGTATGTCTTGGGTGATGTGTTCTTGCAGAATGTCGTGGCTGTCTTTGATGTTGGCGGTGCAGAAATGCGGTTCTATTCGAGAGACTAGCCAACACGACCAGTTGTCGTCAAAGATTGAACGAACACACATTAGCTGGAGTAGAAAGCCAGGAGCATACATTATGTTGTCGACTAGGTTGTACAAAGATCAAGTTGCTATGAGGGCGAGGGGAAAAAATGAAATTCCGATGGTAGGTGCTGCCTGGACCTCCAGCTTGTAGTGATATATGATGCCCAGAGTTCTCACCATGTTATCTTATGCGAAGAGCTACCTCGCATAGAAGTATGGTCGCATACACATGGGCCCAAACACTATCTTCAGCCCGAACAGCCCTTCATGTAAGTCGGGATTGGAGATCTATTCGAGATGCCGACACAAAAGTTATATCATGCTGTGTTCTCGACTGTGCGACGCGATTCGCTGTACGATGATGGGATAAAACGATATGGATGGGGAGGAATACCGTATCAGTGCAAGCTCGTGATCACATTTCCTGTTGTTTGTCATCTATTTTTCCGCTTGTCTGCTGCCATTCTAAAGATCAAGCATTTGATCTTAGTCACGAGATTGAACAAAATGTATTCACCGAACGACCAGAGAAAAAGTCTCGCCATTTGTCTACTCTTCACTTTGAGTTTGACATTGGAAGCGAGAGCATAAGACTATGATGAAAGGCGACGCAGCTGCATCTCCGTCGCCACCGCAAACAAGAAGGCATTCGAACACCTGAGCTTCTAGCAAGGTACGGGATTCTGATCTGTTTTTGTTACAGCTTCCGGATTCCATATCGGGGTTCATGGACTGGGCTCGAGCTGTTTCTTGTTACCGAAGCGAGCGAATCCGATCCACTTAAGGTCTACTATCATGAGGCCGTGAAGCGGTGTAAGTACACTACAGTACATGACCTGGCAAGCGATCCAAACCTGGGGTGAAGAGGGGACCCCACGTCTCGAGGTTCAGGACCTGAAAGTGTATTCATCATATCACACCACAAAGTTAAATCGAATGAAAGACGGGGTCAGAAGACGGATAACCCCAGGTACAACACGCGTTACGACGCAAGAATCGGTCGAGAACCTAGTCCGGGAACCGGCAACTCCATCTTTTAAAGTCATGATATCGCAGCAACACAACATCTGCAAGTGGTGCCAACTCGGACAGTCCCGGACCATCAAAGGGTCTCGTGGACGGCCCATCTTCTGTGGCGGTTCCTGCAGCTCACCCCGGACGTCGATGTCTGAGGCTGACGGGCCCGGAAGGGGGCACGGGACAAGAAAACGATGAGATTCGGATCTCAAAGTCCCATGTCGGTCTACTTGAAGTGCAGTAGAGTAGTGCTTGGGCCTCTTGTCGGCGTCTGAGGTGAAATGCCTAAATGCGCATAGCAAGGGCTACTACTCTTCGTTGCTGTACAGTACACTATGGAACATATTGCAAACTTTTTATCATATTTTGTTTCGACTCTTCCCTACAAAGAGAATGAATACCTGACATTTGGATTGCCCCTCGGGATTAGACCGGGAGGATCCGGAGATGTACCACCACGAGACGAGACATCTGCAGTGAGGGTTGAGCTAAGACGCCAGCCAAAGCTCTAGGCAACTTACAGCTTGCTGTTCTAGCAGCTCTACGCCCGGAGTACAGCTTTCCTCCCCCGCCATCTCATCGGTAAAGAGAATAGAAATTTGCAGGGTGGAGAGCCTGGCTGAGGCCTTTGGGCTATAATTTACAGGGCTTTGTTGACCGTCCCGGGGCCTGGAATTCTACACGCACACACGGCGTCCATCCCGAGCGGCCGGGGGTGTTTCTGACCCGCGGTAGTGGATCATGGACGCGGGCTTTGGCGGGGCAGCAACGTAATCCCATTGGCTTGACTCCATTCCATCGTCATTCATGATGGAGCCGCGACCTTGGGAAAAGACGATGGAAGCCGCATGTTCAATCAATTTTTTTTTACTCTTTTCGTGTTTTGCGATGGAGCAAACTTAGTTACCTTGACTAAACAATACTGCAATACTTGTGTCAGTATCTTTTACAATCAGTCAATTTAGTCAGGTGTGTCGGTCTAATCACTATCAAGTCAAGTCAACCAACTGTCTACTAACGTAGTTAAATTCCGAGCTACTGATCGGGGATACCATACCTTTGCGCTACTGTACCTATCCTTACCCTTTTACCTTACCTCACCTTGGGTTTCCGTCACTTGACCTCGTCTTATTCTTTTAAACTTCCCAGTCTCCCCTCGCACAGCTTGATATTGTGCATATCATATTACCAGCTAGCTAAAGTAGCTTCTGTTCCCTTCGTCCATAAATTACAACCCCTCATTCATCCCTCCATCTCCTCATCTCATATTGAATCTGTTTCTCCCTGAAGCTCAGCTTCCATTGCTCCGGATCACTTCTTGCTGCAGATCGCATTCAGGGTCGTTTGTGTCTTGATCTCTGTCGACCATAATCAAAGTGTCGCAACAAACACAAAACGGAGGTAAATCGTTTTTATTGACAAACGAATTCTCTCCACTACAAGCGGAACCACGTTTACGGTATCTACCTACCAACGTTGGCTTGATCACTCCCACTTTATCTAGGGTCAATTCGCTGTGTCATCAACCTAAACTTAAGAAGGAACGTTTGTTGTATTCTCTTTGCTGTGCCTTCCTCGTCTGTTCTCAGCTGAACTGCATTTGGATCCAATCACCAACGGGAGCAAGTCATCGAGACTGTACTTTCCTATTCACACTCTACCTCGGTCCACGCGATTACTACCTACCTTGCCTGACCTTTCATCAGCAATCGTCGATTGGGTCATTGTCATTTTACTTTGTTCCCCATTTCATGTGTCTGCAGTATTGGAGCTTCATCATATCTGATCATTCCCAAGCTCTTGCCACTCCCGGACCTTGATTTGTCTGCTCAGTAGCAGCCGTACTCAATTCACGCCGCCCAACTTACATCCCAACTAATCAAGATGCCTTCTCGAACCAACGGCGTCGGCGTTCAGGCCGAAGATACCAGGATCTGTGTGGTCATGGTTGGTCTCCCAGCCAGAGGCAAAAGTTATATCGCCCAACGAGGTAAGTTTTGTCGCTACTCGCTGGTGATCCATCTTGCGGTCGCTAACCGATCAATTCTTTAGCCCAGCGATATCTCCAATGGCTTTCTATCCCAGCTCAAACATTCAACGTCGGTAATTACCGCCGCAATGACGCTCCCCAGCCCACGGCCGACTTTTTCGATATCAATAACCCTGAAGGAGAGCGCACCCGTCGCGCCGCTGCCGAAGCTGCTGTTGCAGACATGCTAGCCTGGTTCCGCTCCGGTGGTATTGTCGGTATACTTGACGCCACAAACTCGACGTTGGAGCGCCGCAAGTGGGTGTTGGAGGTTTGCAACGAGAACGGCATTGAAGTTCTCTTCGTTGAGAGCAAGTGCGACGATGAAGAGCTCATCATGGCCAACATCCGCGATGTCAAGACGACCAGCCCAGATTACCGAGGCCAGGACCCTGAGACTGCCGCCCTTGATTTCCGCAACCGCATTCGTAATTATGAGAAGGTGTACTGTACCATTGACGCCGAGGGAAAGGAGTCACATTTGACTTACCTCAAGATCATGGACGTTGGCAAGCAAGTCATCATCAGCCGAATCCGGGATTACCTCCAAAGTCGAATTGTCTACTACCTCATGAACCTTCACATCCGCCCTCGCTCTGTCTGGTTGTCAAGGGTGAGTAAATTGGGGTTTTTTTCTTTGAAAGCATGCTAACAAAACTCACAGCACGGCGAATCATTGTACAACATCGATGGTAGAATTGGTGGTGATACCCTTCTTTCTCCCCGTGGTGAGCAATACGGCAGAAAGCTGCCCGAGCTTGTCCGAAAATCAGTCGGTGTAAGTGATCGTCCCGCTCCAGATTTTCTGTGCTTGCCTAACATTAAATAGGATGATCGCCCACTTACAGTATGGACGTCGACTTTGCGACGAACTATTGCCACTGCTCGCTTCCTTCCTGACCACTACAACCAACTCCAGTGGAAGGCACTTGATGAGCTAGACTCAGGTGTGTGTGACGGCTTAACCTACCAGGAAATCAAGGACCGATACCCTGAGGACTTTGCCGCCCGTGACGAAGACAAGTACAACTACCGCTACCGTGGCGGAGAGTCATATCGCGACGTTGTCATCCGTCTCGAGCCCATCATCATGGAGCTTGAACGCAGTGAGGACATTCTGATTGTCACTCACCAAGCCGTGCTTCGATGTATCTACGCATACTTCATGAAGAAGGACCAGACCAAGAGTCCTTGGATGAATGTTCCTCTTCACACACTAATCAAGCTCACGCCCGGCGCCTATGGCACTGAGGAAGTCCGCTACGAGGCTAACATCCCTGCCGTCAGCACATGGAGAGGCAAGGGCAGTACCGCTAAGCACGAGAACCCAGCTCCTGGTGTCATGTAATTGACGTTGCAGCATCAGCGACGAAGCCAAGTGGAAGGCCTATATTTCGGAGGTACATAGTGTCTCGCTGCGCAGCGGACGGCTGTTTTATGATTTGGAACGAACACGCATCTGGAACAAATTTGGGAGCATGACGAAATGACAAAGCATCTTTTGGGAACATTCTATGATTATTTGCTATAAGGGGGAGCTTGAAGGATATCTGCCGGAACCAAGTGTTCGGAAACAAAAAAACATATGCGGCATAGTGTCACCAAAGACACGACGAAAGGACTTGGGCATGGATCTGTACAGGATTAACGGCGTTCTTTTGCTATTTGTCTAATAGCGGATCAAGCTGGAAAACAACCAGCGTCTCTACAAACAATGATATCAAAAGACATGATAAATGCAATCTAAGGAGCCATCGTGACCAGATCAAAAGTATTTGATTGACTGTATTGTTTCACTGTTGTTTTAAATGAATATCGTGTATTATATATATACGCTTTTATGATTCGACTTAGCACAGGGGTCTGAGCACTGTTTCGTCTCACGATGAGCCTGTTGCTGCTTTTTGCCGTGCTTCCTCACTGATCCTCCGGGATTCTCTTCTGTTTTTCCTCGCCCTGCTTGAGATTACTCAAGATCAGACTCTTCAGCAGGCTTCATTTCAACACTTAAGAACTCGCATGTGTGAGTATCTCTTTCTCGACGGCCAAGAGTACTGAATTGTCCCTGGGTTGGCCGAAGACGTTATAGCACTGGCAAAGATGTCCTGAGGGGATCAAAACACCTGACTACTAGCACAAGGAACGAGATTAGTAAATCATCTTAAGGTATTATGAACCAGGCTCATATCATGTATTTCTGTGCCCTGAAATTGAAAGGTTGAGCTTCCTAGGACCCTCTTCGCCTTTGAGCAGATATCTCTCGCAGTCCGGTGGAGAGTGTGGGGGAAGCCGGGGTGTACCGGCAGTTGTTCGATGAGGCCGAGCCGTCTACCGAAACAAGAAAATGAATATATCGAGATGCCGATTCAAGCTGTGTTGGTATTGCTTATCATCGGTATGTCTCAGTCGTTGTGTGAATGAGATTCTTTATTGGATTGTTCCGAGGAACTTGGCATTCTTTGCGAGCCACAGTCTCTCAGTACGTTGGTGTCTGACTTCCAGGCTTCTTGTTGTGGTTGGTTGTCTTTGGTACTTTGCTTCTTCCGTGAGGTCTTCCGAGTTGAGGTCAACGATGAAAGTCGTCCTACTCCGCGTCGCTTCTCCCGATTGTGTGTGTTCCTTGTAAAGGTCGGCCAAGAGCGGCGGAGTCTTCCAATGGTGGGAGACGTGAGGTTGGTCGTTGCTGGAGCACTATGTCGAGATTGCATTTGATGGAGGAATATGTGATTGGGTTCATCATGGCAGGCGCAACGACAAGGGGCTAGATTCGGCCCAGAGGCCTTGACAATCTTTGCGATGAGCTCAGCCATAGACAGCTCAATGTGTAGCTTGATCAAATATGCAAGAGGATGGAATTCAACGTATCTATTTCACGATTAGAGAGGTTACTTGACTTAAGAGCTTTGACATACAAGAAGGTGTTCCGTAACGACATTGAGCCAATAATGAGGATCTGTGTTCAAATTAGTCAGTTGCGCTGCACATTGTACTCCATAAGTGGCACTTACATCCATGGAGATGGAGATAACAACCATGATCAGATTGAAGCGATATAGCACAACATATTTCTTGAGGCCGTATGCGATGAGAGAAGAACGGACTAGATAGACAAAGTAGAGGTTCAAAGCCAGGTCAACGACTGCAAAAATGCCTTTCTCAATTCGATCCCAAACATCGTTGATATCGATATATGTCTGGCTGATTTGCAGGCGAGCGGGTATCCATATACAAAAGACTGAAATGTTGATAAGAGCAAGAATACTGAAGATGCCCCATTTCAGTCGTCGAACGATAGTTGGTGAGACGTGGAGCAGGGCGATTCGGTTGACAATGATTTGCATGATACAATGGATCTGAAACACCCATAGGAACACTGCCGATGTTAGTGCATGTATACATCCTGGGACTGGACACCATACAGATGAAGAAGTATATTAGAAAGCTATTTGAACTATTAGCCAGTAAATACAATACAGAACAAAATATACGTACCCTGGGCGAATGGTTCCACGAACGTAACCCCAACCAAGTCCTCCAATAACTCCACTGGCGATCAATTCAAGCCATATTAGAACCATATAAGTGGTAAGTCTTCGGGTGCGTTTCCATTGATGATACGTTTGAATAGACACGCGGATAAGTCCAAATAAAGTCAGGCAGAGCGTCATGCCAAACACAATGCTGACAATCGCCCAGTCTGAGCAGCTTGGTCGATGGTACTCGAACCATGGTGGAATAAGGATCCCACCTCTCTTCGGTTCTGTAGTCATTGTATCATGGTTGTACGGCTGTGTTAAATTGGGTGGTTTGTGAGTTTCGCGGGTTATCGGCCAACTTGAGATTTATCCATGTAACGTCGAGCCTCGAGAAATGACAAAGAGAATTCCAAGTCGCTAAATCCGAGGGCCAAGAGTGAAATTAATATTGAATGGACAAGATTGTTGGAAGAAGCAAAAACAGCTTGAGCGCCACCGATTATTCGATGTTCCAATCAGGGTATTTCAACAAGTTGAGGTCTTGTCGAACAGGCGGGTTAAGCGGAGGGCAATACCCGGGGCAATGGGCTGCAACAGATCGCCGACTAACGACTGGACGTTAAGGATGTGGCGCTTTGATATGTCAGTCTGACGGTCCGACTGTGGAGGGCAGGTAACTTTGGAGGACACCGCTTCATTTTACACTGAGACAGGCAAAGTTCAGCTTTCAAGCTGCAGGGAGAGGGCACACATGCTGCAGACGGCATGGCAAGTGCCGAGAGACTCTTTCTCTCCCTTGGTTGCATTTAACAACCAACGCGCGATAGTTGTCCCTGGTCCCTGGTAATCTTGTTATGTCATTATCCACAGCAATGGGACAATAATTGCTTGAATCCCAGCCACAGCCGTCTATGATGGGTCGAACGGCCGTCGTCTCGCCAAAATAGCGATCGATAGAGTTTGTAGGGGGGCCGTAAGCCAACTAACAAGGTAGGCTAGGCAGTCTGTCGCCGCAGCTGTGTGATGAGGAGCAAGGAAAGACCGTCGATCTTAGTGGGATGTGATACGTCAGAGACAGCTCCTTGCGTGACGATGAGAAGCTGCTAGGATCTGTTTTGTCGTGCATTTTCCACATTTGTAGTTGTCGTTTAATATACTATTGCACTAGACATTAGTTAATTGATTGTATGTCCGTGATGAGCAAAACGGAGATTGGAGATTAAGTGAAGATCTCGTTATCGGAAGATATTGTGTGCATGTCTGATTGAGGTGGGAATAGAGAGATATTGGCAAACTTCCATGGTGCCGTGCTTCTAACGTCGGGTACCGGGTAAGTTCAAATGATGCGCACTTCCCTCCGCTCTGCATGAACGAATTTTGGAAGGAGATAATCTGACTCAGTCTAAGATACATGATTTGATGGGAGGGTTGCCTATTTAACCTAAGGATTGCTTTGTTGTGAAGTTGTTTTGTCCCTGATTGCTCTCACTGCATTGCAACTTGCTTTTGTTCAATAAATCAGTGTGATGGTCAAGTGAAACAAAATATGCAAGGGTGGATGGATTACGAGATGGGAAAAAGGAACCCTAATAGCCTATGATCGGAGTTACTCTCTACCCTGTGCAACAATGCAACGCTGACAGTAATTTACGGTTTTAGACATCATCGGTTTGTGATTAACACGAACGAGAGGGTAACAACACCAAACAAACCATCACGAACTCACACACAATAGGTCCGTGATTCAACGATGTAGCGTCCTGACTTGAACTATATAAAGAGAGCAACAGCACATGGAAAGAAAGAAAAAAATGTAATAAATCCCACATCGTGCTAATCGCTCTCCTTTTGTGCAAAATGGCATTCTACTTCCAACCTCCAATCTTTGGGAACTACATTGTCCCAGTGGCTCCAAGAGCGGTCCCTTCCACTCTGGTGGTCTCATTGCCTTATACGACTTACACGCCTCTATACTGGCAACCTGCTCCAGTAATGGTTCAAGCGCAGCACTATGTTCTCAATTCAAACATCAGAATCAAGGTCATATTCCATCGAGCAGGAACCGTCCTCGCCTCCAACGATGCTCACTATAACTACACACCAACTCGCGAAATAGTTTTGGCCAACTTGTCCTGTTGGTCTAAGCAGCACAATCTTGGAGACAGAGTCTACTTGGGCCAGTGTACTCTGTACACCACGCGTAGTCAATACTCGAAGCTTGAGATAATCCCCGAGACTGGTCCTATCACACCGGCAGATAATGTACGAAAGGTATCATTTGCGGACCAGCTACCTCCCAACGAATTCCAGTCGATCATGGTTCAGATAGTTACGAACAGCTATGGGGCATTAATTCTGGTTGACGTGAGTATCAAGAGAGGAAAAGGACGGTGGTGGAAGAGGAGCAGATAGCTAATACATTGGCCGCCAGCGTGCTTATGTGCCTCTTCAAGTTCTAGCCCAGGGGAATACGCAGAGCCCCCCTTCGGATCAAGCTTCAAGTGATGTCACGAATAACAACTCGAAGGACTTGACCAATGCCCCTCAGACAGCTCCCCCTGCAAGTGTTGACGGTGCCGAACCTGAACAGTCAGATATGGATGAGGGAGACGTTGCAAATGGTTGAGGGGAAGCTGGAGTTTGAGAATCGTTTTGCGCAGACCTATAGTCAATAGAATTCGATGTAATCAATGATTGAGACGTATTTTGAAATAGTTGAATTCCTCAAACGGCGTGATCGTGTGTTGTGGCATTGCTATCATCTTGTCACTGCCAGCCCCTGGCGGGTTTTCAAATCACAACCACCGCAACCACGATCCAACCCGTTATTCATGAACCGCAGGCGCAGGTGAACAGCTGAAGAGTTCCAAAGCGCACTTGAAATAATAGAACCCCCTATTCAAAAATGCACCGGGCGTTCTAGATTACAAGACCCCCGCACGCCTGCCTCAGCATTCTCACCACCGTCACTGAGCATTATTATCTCTCCGTGCTTCAACTCACTACATCATTCAACCCTCCCAAATAAAGGGGAACGGGAATCAAATAACATGGACCTCTGCATCACCGCCGAAGAGCCTTTTGCTTACGAGCCGCCCAAGACCAAGCCTTTTACGCCAGTCTCGCCTCCTCTCACTCGAGCCGAGACTCGCAACACTTCAACCTCTGGCCTTTCAGCGTACCCGACTTCCCTGCCCTCCATTATAGGAGCTTCTGAGCTCGATTTCGATCTCATCATTCATGATCCCAACAACAATGACAGCTCTCTGACTTATCCGTGGGATTGTCCTCATACGCCCCTGCGCATTGCCCTAGACACCTCCAGAGTCCATCTCCTCAATCTTCTGCGCGAACAACTCCCGCTCCCCGAATCAAAAAAATCCCGCCGCGCTCGCTCAACTTGTCGCCCTAAGCTCATCGCTGCAACAATGTACTGGACCTTCCGCGGCTCTATTCTCCCGATTGGACTGAGTGACAAGGACTGGCACTATCATCACCCCATCACCAAGACTGACATCATGGCTCGCACTGAGCTTGAATGGTTTCTACTCAAGGAGATGATGGCTTCATCCGGAGGCGCTCTCAAGTGCTATATTGCCATTCGTGGTGAAATCCTTCCGACCAAGAAGACGACTGGCTGGTGGTTTGGCGGCACTGCGTAAGCACCTTCACGTATGTTTTCCTAATCGATTTCTTTGAAGAGACACGAATTGCTGACAGTTTTGGGTGACAGTAGTAGGAACCACGGCGCGTTCGCCTTCGACATGAAGATGACTTGTTTCACAAACGGGAATCGTGTATGGGGACCAAATATATACTGAATGCTCAAGGGTTAATGGAGCACAGAAAGGACGATGGTTGAGATCAACTCATATCCCGTCCAACATGAAACACGCTCTTGTATCGACAAGAGCGTTTATTTATCTGTGATACTAAATCTTCCAATCGATGTATCTGGGGAATAGTTAAATCACACTTTATACCGCAAATATCATACATATTGCAGGCCTTACCTATTCTGAGACAAGTACATGCCCTTTCAAACATACGAAATCGATCGATATCTTAAGCTTTGAGGCTAACTTTCATATAAACAGATATAACGACAAAGACACATATATATAGGAAGGCTTCGAACGTTTAAAACTTGACACATTAAAGACCTAACTCCTTATTTAGCCTAGGTATAATCTGAAAACACCCATGATAGACAGCCTCGCACATCCAAACTGCTCGTAAAGCAACGCAGCCTTCCCCACCTCTTCCGTCTTTTTCTGTCTTTTGACTCTTGAATTAACGCAACATTTGATAACTGCCCCCGAGTCTCCAAACTCCCCCATGTACACCCGATTGCTTGCCGAGCGTCTTTTCCAACAGAAAACTAAGTAAAAAGCAAATGCACATGACTAGAAACGAAAACAAAAAGGGTAGCCAGGATCTCGGAAGTCGACCTGTGCCGCAAGTCCCTATAGTCGTACACGAGTAACTGCAACTCTGTTACCCAGATTAAGCTTCAGACATCCCCTCTCGCCTCTATTCGTTGATCCTGTTGCTCAAGAAATAGGCCCATGACGATTTCGTTTACTGTCGTTATGTGCGTGTGCAAATGACTCGCATAACCTCGTCACCCGTGTCTTCGAGCTCCGAATCACTCACTGCTCGATAAGGCAACCACCAGTCCAGGATGTGCCTCCTGGAAGGTTTCCGGAGCAATCGCTAGGCATTGACAAGGATCGCAGTGTATAGATGATGACTGCGAAAATACACGCCACTCCATATAAATTCATTCTGCCGTAACCAAGTATTTTCCCCAAAGAGCCAGCGCCCGAAGTGAAACCAAAACGGAGAGACGCCACTATGCAGCATAATGCAAAATGAGGATAAAGAAAAAAGAGTAAACAATAACAGTGGCATTTAAGTAGAGCCACCCACCCTCGTCTATTATGCAGGTGGGTTACCCTTTAGTCGTTTTGGCATCCTTGGTGTAGGGGGCTTGGCGTTGCGAGGCATTCCATTAGCATTGGGTGTAGGAGCTCCAGATCCATCCTCCTCTTTCACTGCTGATGGCCTTCTTCGTTTGTTCGAGGCGGGGGATGTGTTTGCGCTAGGTCCGCTTGACCCGGTTCCTTGTTGACTGTGCTGCATCTGCATTCCAGGGGCCTGCATATGACCTTGTGCTGGGCTACCCATATGAGGTGATCCAGGTAGGTTCATGTGAGCCGCAGCGGGGCTTGCGCCCATCGGGAATTGTCCAAAGCTAGGTGTACGGGCCCCGGGGGGCATTTGTTGACCGTTCATGTTTGGAGGAGCGCCATTGATATTTGTCGCGACGTACTGCTCGAGGGCTTGATACGGGCCCATGCCGGGGTTCGAGTGGTTCAATTGGAATAATGGGTTCATCTGTCCCATCACTTCAATAATCTGGTCAAAATTCATTAGCTTCACTCTTTACTTACGATGAGTGAGCTGTCCCTACCTCAAGAAACTGGAAGACAGCTTCAGTCACACCCTTGCTATTCACGGCCGAGTCTGGCAAATCAACCAGAACCTCCGGAGGCTGCGTTTGGGGGGACTTCAACTGTCGACCCTTGCCCTTCTTGGATAATTCAGGAGATTTGCCATCCTGCGAATTCGTCTTGTGCCACTCCTTCATCCACATATGGGCCGGTTTAGCGGCATCAATGACCTGCTTTCGTGAGATGTATTCTTCTTGACTTGTTGTGAGAAATTCGAATAGCTCGATCCTCTGTTCTGCATCAAATTGTACTCGTAGAGCACCACTCGCGACCAACTAGTGACTCGGTTAGTTCCACAATAGCTCAGACCCAACTAATGGTGTCTTACATGAGATCCAGTCTCGTACCAGTAGACAAGACTGGACTTTGAGTTCTCGATACAATGACAGTCTCCTGGAAGAGGCCTATCTGTTGTACCCTTGTCCATAACCAGCTGTATGGTTTTGACGCCGTTGTTGAAATGAGTATGAAAGTAGCGAGCAATAGCTGCGTACGGGATCTCGTATTGTTTATCGGTCGTATCTTCGGCATCGGTAATGTGCAACGAGTGACGGAAAACGCCATTTTGGGAGAAAAATCGCATCACGAAGTTGTGCCAGTATGAGACGTCACCCTTGGAGCCCTATTACCCTTGTTAGTATAACATCAAGACTTTAATGATGGCAAGACTTACGGGGAAGCCACTAAGATGCTCGTTGAACTGCATCAGCTTAAGCAGACACTGGCCTTTCATACTCTCCCTCCGCTGCTGCTGCAACATCTGGTTCTGTATCGCAAGCTGCTGGGCAGCGGCAGCGTTCATTTGAGGTTGGGCTTGAGCCTGTGCCTGGGCCTGAGCCTGTGCCTGGGCCTGGGCCTGGGCCTGGGCCTGAGCTTGTGCCTGAGCCTGTGCCTGAGCCTGGCTCTGAGGCTGCTGTGGCTGAGCTTGGGATTGAGCAGGAGTTTGTGGCAGCTGAGGCTGATTCTGACCAGGTGGCAGCTGAGTTGGCTGGGCAGGGGTTGAGCTAGGTGTCTGTGCAGGGGTTTGGGGCCCAGTGGGAGCTGGTGTCCCAGCTTGTGATGACTGCTGAGGTGTGTGTTGAGGTTGCTGCTGACCAGGCTGCTGCTGTTGCTGCTGCTGTTGTTGCTGTTGCTGTTGTTGCTGCTGCTGCTGCTGCTGCTGCTGCTGCTGCTGCTGCTGCTGTTGCTGTTGTTGAGGGTTTGGTTGGGGCTGGCCCTGTTGGTTTGCCATCTGGTTTTGGATAGCAAGCTGATTATGTTGCTGAATTGCTTGAAGGCTTTGAGCACTCATGGGCATCTGTTGGCCTGGATTAGGCCCAGCTTGCATTTGCTGAGCATGTGCAGCCTGTTGCTGTTGTTGTTGCTGCTGCTGTTGATGTTGCTGGAGAGCAAGCTGCTGGGCCATGATCGCTTGAGCCTGAGGATGCTGTCCCTGATTTGTTAGTGTAAGGAACGCCCGATCGAGGTTGCTTGAGTGTCAATCGACTTACAGGACCCAGTCTCCCTCTGAGATTTTGCAGCTGCTGTGGGTTGAGTTGGCTGAATTGGGCCATGTTTATCGGCATACCACCACCATGCATGTTGGCTTGGAGAGCGGCTTGTTGAGCCATAAACTGTCTTTGTTGAAGTAACTGTTGTTGTCGCATCGCTTGCATCGCTTGCGGATTATTAGCAACTGTGGAGGAGACCAATTAGCGCGTGCGCAGAGACAGGGGATGGCAGGGACAGTGCCATTAAGGTAATACATACAATGTTGTTGCTGGAGTTGTTGCTGAATCATTTGCTGCTGTGTGGCGGGATTGAGATGCTGTAAAGCATGAGCATTTGGGTTCGCACCCGGCGGCATACCGCCCATGAGGGCAGGGTTTACTTGAGCTCCTTGAGCAGAGACCATGGGTCCTCCGAATTGATGAGGCATTCCACCACCAGGACCGCCTTGCTGGCCTTGGTTATGAGGCATGCCACCTGGACCCATAGGATGGCCAGCGACACCTGGGTGTCCCATGCCGGCAGGATGCCCAGAGAAATTTGGGCCCATACTGGTTGCCATCATGACTAAGAAGTCAGGTCGATAATCCACGCCGTGGATATCGACAATCGCGTTGTAATACTATCGCATACGTTGAACGGAGGGCAAGAGAACGCTGACTGACGACGCGAGCGCGAGCGTCAACTTCTAGGTATTCGAAGTGGTGGGAGGCGTTATACAATAGATATTTCGCGCGTCGCGACGAGACAAGATCGGGAGTAAGTTGCGATGGCGATCGTGTCGGAAATCAAACAAGACAAGGAGAGATAAAAAGAGAGATGCACAAGATATCCTGTGTCAGATCGTATAGCAGCTAGAAAATAGTTGTCGTCAAGGCGTCGGTGAGCGTCAGTGGAAGTTTTGGTGGTGTGTTTCGCGCTGCGAAAGCGGATAAGAGAGAATGAGGCCGGTTGGACTGGGGGGAAAGAGGAGGCAGTGGGCGAATGAGACGACGATGGGGCGAATGGCACGTCACGAGTCCAATGGTCAAGACCTCAGATAGGTCAGTAATAAATACTGTAATCGTGGTCGACCTGGAAAAAGTGAAGCCCAAAAAGAGCGCAGATCGAGGTTGTCGAGAAAGGAATTGGTGGATTGTCGAGACAGACCCAGGAAGGAGAATGCGAAAGACACGGGAGAGCGATGCCACAAAGAGGGCGATCCGCTTTCAGTGCTGGGGGACGGGGGAAAGAACGGGAGTCGCAAGGTGGACGGGATGGGGACTGCGACTGCGACTGGGTCTTCGCTGGTTCGGGTCGGGCTGGCAAAGGGGGTAACAGAAAAGGTGACCTCCGAGTATAGGGTACAGAAAACAAATGACTTCCGTAGCTAGGCTAAAATGGCATAAACTGACTCATTGATTTCGTCTCTTGTGCCCTCGACAGCTAGATTTTCTGATCCGGGTTCGGTAGGTTATATTTCCGCGTGGGCGCGCTTATTTTCCAGTCTTCAGTGCACTGAGCTGTGCTGTGCTGTTGGGGGCTGGACTGGACTGGGTTTTGGTAACGCGACGGCGGGCCCGGCACTCAGGTACGCACGCTGATAGCCCGGATAAAGTATCCAAAGGACAGGCACGCAAAAAACCAGGGTGGAATCTGACGTGACGGGGGGCTGGTGACCTCAGTTCTCGACTTGGCTGAAAATTAGATTTGACCAAGGAAAAAAGAAGGCAGAGAAGAAGGGGGAAAGAAGTGGGAGGAGTTGGCAGATTGACTAGAAAGAATCTAGGAGTAGAAGTGGAAGAAGAAAGGGTGCTGGTGGTGGTACGTAGGTAGTCAACCTATGATGAGCGAGCCTGTGAAGCAAGGCGGAAGACAAGATGCCAAATCAAGGCGTAGTTAGACTAGAGCAAGGTTGTAGGAGACCCCAAGTGAGGCCTCAGATCTCTTTGCTTTCTTTATTTTGTCTGTGAATATGTTTTCGCTGAATCAATATACATACGTAGGTAACAATAGCAGTAATTGGGTTGGCACCTAAGAAATAAAGATGCTGTAGACAGAGATCGACGGCCTGGCTCTTACAGACTGGGGAGATCTCACTCGATTCCTTCTGGCTGGGCTGGGCAGGCTGACTGACTGGGTCTTGGATTTTTGGGGGAGGACCTTTTGACCTTTGCGTCTGAGTGAGTTGGACAGGTGGATTTGGAATGAGACGGGAAGCATTCTGATACGTCCAATAAAATATTATATGGGTCCAGGCGGGCTGCCGGATGAGGACCCCGAGATAAGGGTGGATGAGTATGTATCTACCGAGTGACTCAGACCAAATATGCATATATCCTCTGGTTAGCTCCCACTAGCAAGTGGACGGCTAGCATAAATAAACGCACAAAGCTCTAGTATTTCACGTGCAAGTATTCTGTCACTTCCAACACAGCGGTATACCATCCGTTATCTCAATAGCTATGGGTATGAGCATACTCAAAACCTATAGTCACAACCTCATTACAACGAAATGTCGGATCCCTGACGACACGCGACAGGTACCGACAAGGATGTGTCTTCATCTATGTCCGCGTTTTGTTGCTGAAGACATGCAGCCGACAAGCGCACAGATGTAAAAGAAACCAACGTCCATCGAGGCTTGAGCAAAGGCAAACGATACCCTAAGACCAACACTTTTAAGATGAAAACTTGGTAAGGACTAGCGAGAAAAGTCATGACGTGAACTACATACGCTGACTGCCCCCAAGCCTAGTCGTACATCCTAAGACATTGCAGCGGGCATAGGTGGAGGAGGTGAAGGACAAGACAAATTGCTTCATGCATCTATCGCGATATTCAGGTGGGCCATGAACTAACTTCCGCCGCTAGGGCCAAGAAAGGGTAAGGAACCGGTCACGTGAAAGATACACAGTGCCGCGCATCTTTCAAATTTTCCTGCACTGTCTTCCAATATCTTTCTTCGATGCGGCTCTCAACTTTCTTCTCCCAAGCTTCAATCCTTTCCAACAACAACAAACCGCCTCTACCTCTCTTCCCACGCGAACACGACGCGCGAGATCACACGACGACTGTCTTTCCGGAGCAGCTGTTTTGATTTTGAACAGCTTTGTCTGAGTGGTGCGCTTTGCGTCTTGCCGTGCGGGATGTTTGTTTGAGGTGGTTTGTTTGGCTTGCAAAGAATTTTTTTCTTTGCAGCCTTGCATGCAGCTTGGATTTTAATGGTAAGAAAAACATTCCCTTGTGCCTCGCAGCACTCCATGCCCCCATCTGAATGATGACACTTGTTGCACACTTCTTTATCCACCTGAATCGCCCATGAAGATATTCAGTATCCTGGGCCCTAGGCCTGTTACTTGCCAGTATCATTGTCTGACTACATCAAACACACTCAGCTTTTCTAGCACGCGCATTCTTTGCAGCTTCGCTAACATTGCTTCAACAGATTTATGAAAATTTGCTATACCCGAAACTAACACAACTTTGCCAAGCTTTCTAATATTTAATGTAAGTTTGCAAAACATTTCTTCACAACCAACCTCTTCGTTTTTCATGATGAAATTTTCCACCTAATTCGCAGTTTCCACTCGAGTCCCATTCGAGCCTTTTTGGGACAGATGAGGGTATAATTATACTTCCTTGGATGTCTGATTAAACACCATATTTCGCACTTTGCTGTTGACTATTTTTTATCAAGTCTTGAAGCTAACTGTTGAAAAGTTCTAGATGTTACCATGGGAGACCACTCCGAATCTAAATAAATAGAACAAATAAAATTATAATATTTTCCTCCAACTTTCGTGCCAATTTGAATCGTGCCAGCCACCGTGAAAAAAAATGCAACAGGAGTCATGATATAGCATGTATCATGACACCTTGTAAAATTGCTACTGTTGCACCTCTTTCTCACGAATGACAGAGTAGGCGAGTCTACTACGCGACGGTTTCTGTGATGTCTTTTCGTTCACATTCTATTAACTGCCAAAATCTTTAGATGTTCATTTATATTCCTCAGCTATACTGGAGTATCGCTGTAGTTACAGAGATCTTCAAATTCGATCTCGTACTCAATATCGTATTCTATCCTCTCCGCGTCTCAATCCTAAACGTCTTCAAACTCGATTTCTTCCTCGCTGTCCTCTGCATCGTCTTCTTCCTTCTTCACTTCGGGCTCGATCTTCACTCGCTTGGCCTGTCGATCTTCTGTGCTTGCAGGCGATCCCCGTTTGATCGCTGATGTACCTGCCACTCATCATTTCCAAATCAATCGCTAAATAACACGAACTTCATCCCTCATATCATCCCTCCTCACTCTGCCACCGACCATTCCCCTTCGGTTTCTTCCTGTTCTTCCTCTGCCCAACCAGTTGAGCTTCAGCATCTTACACAGCTCCACGACCCTCTCGTTTCCTTCAGCGCCAACATCACCTGCCGATACGCCCGACAAGACACTCATGCACTGTAGCATTCGGCCAACCATTTCTGTGATGTGTTTCGAGTCCTCGACGTTCTGCTCGCGGTCCCGTAGACTGGCCAAGGAAGGCACGGGTGGAATCCCCCCGCTTCCTGAAGGCGTGAACGGTCTCAAACCACCATCGCTACCGTGACTGCCGAAGCTGACATTGCTGATGGCTCGACTGCGACCTCCTGCGGAACCTTCTCCAAGGAGTGTTGTGCTTGTTGAATTGTAAGAAGCGTTGGATGGATCAAGAGACATTGCTGTGCCAGGACGGCCAAACGATTCAGAAGGCGAAGTAGATAGTGGCGCTTCGGGTGCAGACGACATTGCCATGCTTGCAAGTGACGATGGTAAAAATTCAAGAGAGAGCCGTGAGAATATATTCTTGAGCGTGTCGTAGCGTGGTAAAATGACAGTATCTCTGTAGGCGATGAGTACTAGCCTTCTCACATCAAGGACTGATGGTGCTGGAGCCACACGAGCTGGTCCCCCTGAACCAAATGAAGAAGTGACAGCACCTCCCCAAAATTCACGAGCTTGCTCTCCGGTCATGAGTGTACCACAGCCTGATACCTCGAGATCCAGCGGGAGGAAGACGGCCTGCATGTATGGCAAAATGGAGGTGAAGGTAAACATCCAAAGCTCCACAAGCGTCGGAATAAAGCGATCCTCAGGGGTCTGACGCAACGTTCGATCCAGTGACAAGAACCCTGTGTGTAGAAGATCGCGCAAATCTTCCAACATGGTGTTTGGTGAGCGTCTATGCATGCACCATTGAATATGCATTTGCACAACACGGTTAAAGTCTTCCACAGGAAGTCGAAGATCCTCACCCTCAAAGATGACCAGCAGTTTGGCTCTTAGATACGGCCACGCATCGTCCAGCGACATGTGGTTGTGGAGGCCTAGCTTTCCAGGGTCAATGGGATCGTACATGGTCGATTGTTGGGACAGGGATGGTAGACTACTAGGTCCAGGCCATTCGCTTTGCCCATTAAAACTAGACTCGCCATCCAGCCGGCTGTCCGATCGTTCGGCGCTCTTCTTGTCCTTTTTAGCCTTGGAAAACGTTGAAGACGTGGGCGCTGGGCTTGGTGGGATATTGAAGTTGTATAAAGGGTTTGGTGCGTTGGGATCTGTTGGGCGAGAGTTGCTGGCCGCTGATGATAACGGGAGATGGTATTCATCTTTAAGCTTGTGCTTTTGCCGCGAAAGAAAGTGGTGCTTCTTCTCCTTCTCCTTGCCCTTCTCTTTGTCCTTCTCTCTTTCTTCAGTAGGCGTTTCGATAGGTCGTATGGTTGCTGAAGATGAGTTGTTGAGGTTGTATATGGATTGATTACTCGGATCAACCAGGCTGCTTGTACTAAAGTTCCCACGCTGAAGAGCCGAAAGAGCAGAGCCAATCTTTCCGGGACTCGGTAGCGGCTTCTCCTTCGACTCACCCTTTGTGCTGATTTTGCCTGGACGAGAGAAAAGCTTGACCTTGGACTTTTCTATCTTGCTTGGCTTTTCTGTCACTGGGGGCGGCGGCGGAGGTGGTTGTGAATATGGTTGAGGTGATACCCTAGGGGAGGTGTGGCCAGATCGAGGAAAAACGACATTCGCAGCCGCCGTGGCAGCAGAAGAGTGAGGTCCGCCATATCCGCCATGGTTCACGAACCCAGTATCCCGCGGCGCACTCGCCTCTGTCAAACTCAGCATCGGAGGACTCGTGGGGCCTTTACTGCCGCTTCCTCGCCGCACACCTTCGTTAGGATCACCAGGGAAAGGTACTGTCTGCGAGCGCTGGCGTGAATGGTTCTGATGCGACATGACAGCCGCCTGCGCCGCCATTTGGCTCGCGGACAAGCTAACATTAGAGGCAGAGGCAGCAGCAGCAGCAGCCGCCGCCGCGGACATGGAAGTGGTAGATGAATTTTGTTGAGACATTCCGAGATGTGAAGATAGATTCGAAGTGCTCATGGACGGTAGGGTAGGTTCAAAGGAGCCTTGTGTAGCTGAATGTTTGCGCGCATGGCCCTTGACCAGTGTCGCCGGCGACCCTTGAGTAACGGACCTTGCGTTCGCTGGTCTCGAAAAGTTGTGATGACCTATGCTTGCAGTACTTGAGTTTCCGTGTGTCGTGAACTGTGAGTATATCGGTGTCGCGGGTGACGAGGGCTGCAGTTGTGAAGGTTGTCGCGACTTGGGTATTGTTATGGATGGTCGGGGGGTCTCGTCTTCGTCGTCTGAGGTTTCGACTCGGCGTAGAGCAGGTCTCGAGGATTTTGTTGAAAGCTGCGAAGGCTGGGCAGACGAGCTTGATAACGGATTGAAGCTGCCCGGGCCGCGGGGTTGAGAGCGTGAGGGTTGCATTGTTCTTTATGCGACGTCAAGACCGCTGCTACATCTTGGTCCCATGCGGAGAGCTGAGGCCGAATTGACAGGGCCTAGTGGGGTGTGTGAGACTTGTTTCGGGGCACCAGGGGTTCAGAAAAAACTATGGGCTTGTCATGTCGCAAAGAATGATGGTCGAGTAAAGGTAGTATCTCAAAGTTGTTGTTGAGGGTGAACTAACAAACAAGTAAGACTGTTCATAGGAGCAAACAGGGAGTCTTGTCTATTGAGCAAGCCACTGTGCTGACTAACGCCGCTACGTCAAGGAAGCATGAGATGTGATCACATCCATTTCCACTCAATTGATATAGTTAATGAGAATAATAGACATAATTTAATGTGGATCGAAATGTGCTCCTACATAGATCTGCAGAATCACCCTGTAAATGCCCAATAAATTCTCAATATCTCTTATAGTGTAGTTCACTTCTGGCTGTCTCCATAACATAGAAACAGCCCGGTATGTGGGGTTGCTTTCAACCCCGCGTCAACAACATCAAGACTCGACTCTTTCCTTCAATCATTCGTCATTCAGCTTCATACGCCAAACGCTTTCCACAATGTCGCAACCAACCCTCACCGCAGACTATACCTCCCCGGAGAGTGAACCTTTCAAGGTCTCGCACACGCTACCCGCTATTTCCTCTACCGCTTCTACGACCGACAAGGCGTCATACCTCAAGGCTCTCCGCGCATCTATCGCTGATACACAGTCCACGATTAACCAGGAGCTCACAGCACGAATGGAGCAGGACAAAGCGAGAGATGCAGCAGCTGAAGCGAAGGAGGAGGAAAACTACGGCGAGGAGGTGGTGGAAGAAGAGGACTGAGAAAAAATATCATCACGTTAGCAATAACGAAACCCTCCGCGACAAAATGATTTGTATATGAAGGGTATTCGAAGAAATTCAAACTGGCTACCACCGGTCCAATTCATGCAGATGCTCCCAAACAATGCTCCCGCTCAGCATGACGGCCTGTCTAAAATCCCCGACCCCAACTTGGCGCCCGAGCTGCGTCCACCTTGTTCCCAGTTGCCCGGTTCAAACAGCCATAGTGCACCACCGTATTATCCGGTAGTACAGCCACAACGCTTCCACCAATACGCATACCTCCTCCGAGTTTCTTGTGGCATACAACGCAATGTCGTTCGTCTGTGATAGCGACATGGCGATTTCGCCCACCTTGCCCGCCTTGTACATGGTCCCCAAGGTGCAGTCGCGCTGCGATAGAGACACCATCGGCTTGTCGAAGACCAGCAACAATCCTCGACTCATTTACCAAGCTATTAGCTGAACGAATGCGCCCTCGGAAATAAGATTCCAGTGACCGAACAGGAAGATCATCTGGAATCAGACCTAAGGTTGAGGTTGCTGGGAGACGTGATCCATGCTTGGATAGCAGATCAAGTGCTGGTTCCAGGTTAGGTTGGTTGGGTGATGAAGGCTGAAGGTAGAGCGATAACAGAGTATGATAAATAGATGGCGTAGCCTTCTCAGGATCATCTCCAGCATCGTTCTTTGTGTTCTGTTGAAATTGAGTAGTGTCTTGAGTAGAATTCACTCGGTTACAGTATCTATCAAGGTCAGTATATGAAGCACCGGAACATCGGCAAATACGTACTGTTCAGCTTTCTGGTAGTCCTTCATCTTGAACACGTAAATCTCAAGTGCCTGTTTGTGCTGGCCCATCTTACTCAAAACCACAGCCTGTGCTTCGTAGAAAGCAGGATCTACGCGATAGAATCAGCATACATCGCTATAAAATTGGAAAATACCACTTACCGTCACGAGGAATCAGTTGGAATGCTTTGCTGAGGCTGTAAACCTGCACTGGTTCTCTCAAGAATTCGTGTCTCAGGAACTCAACAAAGCGATTCATCATCTCGTTCCATTCGTCACTTTGCTCCATCTTGGTCAAGTTCTCTACAAAGAGCTCAACCAGTCGGTTATGGAGATCCGGCGTCATATCTTCAAGTTCGTTGATGATGTGTTCCAAATACCGGCCTTCCAACTGGGTATCAATATCGTGTAAGAAGGACACAACTTTTTCCCGTGGCAAAGTTTCGGCGTTCTCGGTATCCCCTATAAAAATCTCTAGTGCGGCATCAGGACGAGCCTTAAGAGTCCATTCTGCATGCTCGAGAATGAGATCGATCTCTGATGGCGGAAGATTTTTGAGATACTCAATGGTACGCTCAGGGCCATGAAGTGCTGGTGCGGCATCATCTGGCTTTTCAGCAGCACCGAAGCGCCGCAGCAGCTCCAAAGCTTCCTTATGTAGCTTCTTGCCGTAGAAGAAATCGACCAGCTCATTGTAGCGATTATGTTCCAAAAGCTTTTCATTAACCACATTAGGGTCGCAGAAATTAGGAATTCGGAACAAAGAGCTTGCCAATGTTGGCCGAGAGAACATGTAAGCTCGAAACAATGTTGTATCGACAAGACGAAACGTGTTTCGCAGCTCTTCTTGCAGTTGTTCTTCCGATTCATCGAGTCCTATTCGTAGGAAGGTCTCTGCTATCTCTTCCGTCGAGCCATTTCGCTCGCTTCGAGGCTTCAAGTTTCCAGTGACCGGGTCAAGGACACGCTGTAGCCGAGCACGGGTTCCAGCAAGATAACTGTTCAATTCCAGAACTGCATTGGTCAAGTCCTTGTCTTTCAAAGGCTGATCGTCACCCGAGTCAGTCTCCTTCACGCTAGCGACATCATCGCCGTCAGTCGCATCCTTCTTTGAGAAAATGGACGCGGTGTCTGCCTGGGGTCTCCTATAACTGCCCGTGAGATATCTGGCAAACCCTCCTTTGCTCGATGGAGGAGTTTCATATGTTGGCGAGAGAGGTTCAGGGGTACTAGTACGTGTGCCGTTGGTCTTCTTTGGTGTTGCGGGGGCCTCGTCCGACTCCTGACTCTCTTCATCCTCGCGGCCTGCCCATGCAGATAGCTCTCCAGCGATAGAGGGGGGAAACATCTTGAGTACTCGCTCTGGGGGTGCATGTACATCATCTTCATTGAAGAGATCCATAGCCTGGCGGTATTTCTTCTTCTTGAACAACCCTTCGGCCTTCAACATTTTGACTTCGCGTAATGTCTGTGTCTTGTTTCTTAACAAAGCATCCTCTAGCATCTCCAAGATACTGATTGCCTCGTCTAAATGACCACCATCCACAAGCTCTTGGATTTGAGAGTCATAATCTGTTGCTTCCATCTTCCAAACACATCGTTCACTTGAGATATGGAAACCTTTGCCGGCATGTGCTAAGCTGTAGGATGGTGGCGGAAAGTGAAGCTGGGCCGCACCAGGTAGTGACAAGTTTTGAAGTGACGAGAGAGTCGAAGGATTTCGAACTTCGAGCGAACCTTTCGAAGGTGCTTGTAGAGCGAGAATGTAAGGATACGAATATCCTATGGATTCAGGGGCATGCTGCCAAGGGATTTGCCGTCTGTCGAGAGACTTTCCATCGTCGTCGATAAATAGCGTGTTGATATCCTTCACAAGCAGTATTTCGCCTTCCGCCAGCTTAGTAGCCAAAGGTTTGGGCATATAGCCTCCCAAACCCATATATCCCATACCGGCACTGCTCATCGCACCAAAGCGACTGTTCTGTCCGGCTGCTGGCCCCGAGCCAGGGCTTACAACATCTTCAACTTCGCGTGTGACCACGTTGACCATGACGTATCCGCCGTTCAAGCCACACACCAGCTTTGTTGCGCTCGCCCATGTTACTGATCGGATCGACTCGGCTAAAACAATTTCGTCTACATCATCGGAAAGTTCGCTCTCAAGCCAGCTCCAGAGCAAGAGTTTCCTCTTGACTGCAACGGCCAGCCGGCTTACAATCTCGGGGATACCAGTATCTGGATCCTTGACAATATTTGAGGTTGACGCAAAGCAGGTTGCGTTCTTGGTTCGGGGCAGAGTCTCGATAAGTTCGTATGTTTTTAAATCGTGGAATGAAACATGGTAGTTCGATAAAGAAACAATCGTATTTGCGTCTTTGATAATGGCAAGCTGCTCGATGGCTCGTGTTGAGAAGCGCTCAACCTCTCGCATCAAATCTGTTGGACTCGTCGATTTGGCTGGAGTATCGGTATGGCCATTCGGGGACGTTGCGCCATTAGCATCTACATCAACAGAACCATTCTGTGATGGGTCGGCGAGGCCGTTTAAACGGTAGATCCGGAGGGCGCCATTGTTAAGGCCGACGAGAACGCGGTCACCTGAAGATCGAGGCCTTAGTTATGCACCGATGAGATCATGAGAGTTGCGGTGAGGAAAGCAAAAGCAACCACATAGAATAAACAATGGTGAAGATAAACATACCATGGGCAAGAATTGTCTCAATTTTTGCTCTCGTTTGTTGTTTGAGCTCGATTATAGGACGGGCTGTAAAGGCGGAGAGCATGGCGCCGGCCAGCTCGAAGCTGTAGAGGCTATTGGGAGAGGGGGCGCATCAGTTAATTCGAGGGCTACTCAAGAGTAGATATTGCCAGGAGAAACTATCGACAGGTTGAAGAATAAGTGACAGAATCGACGGTGAGTTGTTGTATGTGTTGATGTATCAAGACAAGAACGGCGGTTGAGTATGCGGAATTCGGTGGCAGGCGTGGCAGGTCATGCCGCCAATATCGACGTCAACAGCATGGCCAGAGCTTCTTGCATCAGCACAGTGACACAGTGCTACTCGCACTTACACAACATCACAAATGTCTTTACATTGATATACAACTGTCTTTGCATCTTTACGATTTACAAAGGTCTTCGATTAAGTCGAATGTATTGGTAGTTTATTATCGTCATCTTGAAAAGGTTATAAATATCCTCAAACACTAATCTTTTCCATGCTAATCTACTCCCATAACAATGTACTCCATCCAAGATACCCAAGTACAAACTTAGGACACCAAAAAGTAACAGTTAATAACTGAGCTATCAAAATGATTTGTCTAAAACCTCGACCATTAGTCAAGTCCAGCGACTTGCATAATTCCATATCCAAGGGTTACCACCACAACAAGAGTAATGAGACTGCTGGGTACACCACGGCTGATAAAATGCTTGACCTGCAAATATCGCTGACCGAAGGGGTCTTCCTTCATGATCGCAGCTGTGAAAAGTCAGAATTTGATCGAATTGAATCATAGTGATGAACTTACTCATATTGGGGAAACCACTGGTGGGCAAGCCCATAGCGGCACTGCACATGAGAACACCACCCATGACAAGGAGGTTGGGGTGAGGCTGTTCCATCGCAACACCGACATCGAAGACAAGGGGAAGGAAGATCAGAGCAGCGACAGTGTGGCTGATGAAGGTTGCGATAACCAAAATCAGAGTGGAGAAGACAACCAACACACCATATAAACTCATACCCTCCACCTTTTCAGAGACAATCTCGGCAAGAGTATGCAGAAGACCAGAGGACCGAACAGCCTTACCCAGTGACAATCCACCAGCAGCTAGGATGATGATGGTCCATGGGAAGTTGTTGAAGTCCTCCTTGGTCAAAAGACCGATTCCGAAGAAGAGAACAATAGGGATAATGGCAATGACACCCATGTCTCCAAACTCATCTTCAAGCTGGTGGCTGGCGCACCACAAAGCGATGGTAGAAATGGTGACGATAGTGACAAACCACTGCAGGGCAGTGAACTTTTCCTTGACGGGGCGAATGGGCGCGATTGTCGTGCCTTTACCTGGTTGGAATGTAACGAGAAGTAGGAGCCAGATCAGAACAATGGATACAGCTCCAACAGGGATGACAATGAAGAACCACTGGAGCCACGTAGGTGCGGGCTGCATGATGCCCATGGCCACGACATTCTGTGGAGATGCAATAGGGGATAGCATTCCGCCGATGTTGGATGCGAGAGCAATGCCGATAATGACTGCCTTTGACATGTTTGAATCAGATGGCAAGGTTCGAAGCATGGGCTACACAATTGTTAGCATAATTCTACTACAGTGGATACCCACCAACTTACCTCAATAATAGAATAACAAAGGACAGGTGCGGCAACGTTGCTAATCAACATAGATGCAAAAGCAGCCACGAACATGTTGGCGATTAGGACAGTTTTTGGTTGTGTTCCAGCTTTGCTAAGGACAAGCGTAGCCAGTCGCTTGTCGATAGTGCACTTTGACAAAGCCGCTGCGAGTGTGAAACCACCAAGGAGAAGCATGATGACAGGCGTCCACATGGCAGCAAAAATGGCAGCGGTGGCTTCCTTAGAGCCAAGACGCTTCTGAGGCTTACCGGGGGTCTCATCGCGAACCACGTTCAAGACCACCGAGAGGAAAGGAATCAGCAGCGAAGTCACGAAGAGAGGTATAGTCTAGAAAGGGTCAGTGTAAGTTCTTCGCGAATCGTCCTCTCTGTGTAACTTACCTCGGTGGCCCATAATAGACTGACAAAAATAAGCATCGCCAGACAGTTCTGCTGCTCGGGCTTCTCCATGATAGGGAGCAAGAGCAGCAGGAAAAAGACGGTAAGACATGCAATTAACGTCCAAAGAGACGTACTAGCAAGCCATGGAGGCAGGGTAATTCTTCCGAATGGCGTACGGAATTGTGTGACCTGAGCTCCCTTGGCCTCGTCGCCCTGTAACCTCCTTGTCACATTGCCTCTCTCTTGACCGAGAAGCGCCTGCCCCAAGCCAGCCGCCTCGGCTCTTCGCTCTATGCCAATAAGATCTCTCCATACGGTGTTACGTTCCCACACGACATGTTCTCTGAGATGTGAACGAAGATCCTTGCGGGCCAGCGCTTCATCTCCGCCCGTGACAATTTCAGCGAAGGCCGTCTCCATCTTGGCGATGTTCTCTTCAAGCACGCGCTTGGTTTCGTCCTTAAATGGGTAGGCAGTCTCGACGTGGGCTCGTAGGTATGGTCCCTTCAACTCCTTGTCGAGAATCTTGTCAAACTTCTTCAGTACCTTGGTGAAACCGGTACGGTTGAGTTGGATAAATGACTTCAGCTCGCAGAGCGATACGTAGAGGCCAATAATGCGCTTCTTGAGCATAATGGCCGATGAAAAAATGCCCGAGGAGAACATGAGGTTTTCCTCGTTCTCATCTCCAGCAGTGCTGAGCCTCCTCATATCTCGGCCCAAATCGGTGGAGGCATTCATATCCTCAGAGCGCGGCTTATTTATGCTGTGAATGGTTCGCCTTCGGCCTCCGCTGCTTCGTCGCCTTGTTGTCAGGCCGGTAGTCTCATCTTCTTCCTCACTACCACTCTCTTCGTTGTCGCTGCTACGACTTCTCGGGCTTCTTGAGCGGACACCGTTTCGACCTTCGGCTCGGTTGTTGGCAGACGATACAGAGAGCCGGCGCAGGTAACGATTGTCGGCGATAGCATCTTCTGCTTCGTCGCCAACGTCGCGTAAGAGTTGTGTAGCCTCTTCGAGAAGCTCGCCTTCCTTGGAGACATAAAACGAGCAAATCTTCTCTAGCTCGACGCCCAGGGCCCTAGAGAAAACTTCTTCGGCATCTTCTTGGTTGATAAGAGGTCGCGATTCAGCGTCACCGGTACTGCCGCGAGCCTGATGGGCAGTCTTTTCAAGATGGTAGATTCTAAATAACGGCTGAGTTAGCACAATCATGATTTTGCTGTGCCGAAGAACCCAACGTACAGCTTCTTGAGGTTGCTGTAAGCAATGTAATGGCTGCTCCAATCTGGAACAGCATTGAACTGAATACTGTGTGAGAACTTCATCTCGTCTTGTTCTTGAAGCCAGCGGCGCTTTTCGTCTCGTTTTTCTTTTCTTCTAGCCTCGCGATCTGCAGCGTCTCGTCGAGCCTGGATGGGAGGGTAATCAACAAGCTCGAATTGCTCGCTCGTATTTGCGGTACTGTCGCGTAGATACTGCTGTCGTGGTGCCGGGTCTGGGTCGTCTAATAGAGAGGCAGCAGCACTCCCTCCTCGGGTCGAATGGGCGTGTTCGAGGCGGGTTTGAATTGTAGTAGGGGCAACGCCAGGAGCAGAGGAGGGATTATCGAGGGATGATGGGGAGGGAATGGTTGCGACTTTGAAGCCTGGCGTGGGAGGGAGGTTAAGTTTTTAAGTTGACAAAAGTTCGGAACAAATCGAGATGTGTTTCGAGGGCCCCCAATTGTGTCACTTGTTGTGAGTGGATGTGAATGTGGATGAGGGAATCGTCAAGGTAGCCCCATCGGCCAAGGAAAAGGTCCAACACTAAATGTCCCCGCTGAGATCGCAACCTTGTTTTGTACGATTAGTAGGAATGAGGTGTTGATACAACGATAATTGCAACAAGATGAGACTTGGATATAATGCACGAGGCCAGATTGGTGACAATTGGGAGGAGAGGCGAAGCAACACAAAAGTCAAAGGGGTCGAGGGACGAGTCAAACGAGGCGGATGCTTGCAGTAAAGCATCAATTTTATGGCCTATGATAGGCTGGACTTGGATTCGCGTGCAGCTGGACCCCTGTACTCTGTGACGTCGGCTTTCAGTTATTGGGGGAGTTGCAGCGGCTGCGGCCATGAGAGACGGGTTTCAACTTTATAGACGAAGTTTCTATTGTGCTTTGTTTTAACTTTTATACTTCAATCTCCTGATGCAGCCTTGTCTCGCTCCTGCATCTCATTTGTTTCGAAATTGAAGATCATCTTTTCCGTCCGCTTACAAAGCCAGGGCCTCATTTATAGAATCGTTCAAAGTTCATGATATATCAGGTTACCGACGACGGACACAAATTCAGGGGATCACAAAAAAAGTCCATCATAGCACCAAGTTTTGGTGTGGCTTGAAGTCCTCCCATGATCAGAAACGTGGGTAAATTCCCTGAATCGACAGGTTCCTGGCATCACAGTTGCACCCTCTACAATTCGTAGTGAGACAGCAAAAGAGGTTAGAGGTCAGTCAGGTCAGGTGTTGGAGACGTGGGGGTAAACTTCTCCAACTCCAACTTTAGCTCAGAAAGACATACTCAAAGCTATCCGTACACATTCTACCGATATTCATTAATTACCCGAATTATGGTATCTCATACAACTTTTCGACCCCCCAGCTTAGTTCCCCAGCATCTGCTGCAGGGCATTTGTACGATATGTCTCGCTCCTTTCCACCAATTCCTCGTGTCGACCCTTTTCCACGACTTTACCCCCCTCAATCATAAAGATGACATCCGCCTTGCGCACCGTATGAAGCCTATGTGTAATGGCGATGACAGTGATACCGCGCGCTACACGCTCTAGTCCTTCTTGCAAAGCTCGTTCACTTTCTGCGTCTAGTGCACTCGTGCTTTCGTCAAGGAGGAGCAGTTTAGGTTTACGCACAAGGGCACGCGCAATCGCTAGACGTTGACGCTGACCGCCAGAGAGCCGCGAGCCGTTAGGCCCACATTCGGTATCGTAACCGTCGGGCAACTCCATGATAAC